CCCTTCTTCACCTTCAAACAGAAGCTCTGAGGAAGGACCTCATAGGCTGACTTTCTGCTCCTGGACCAATCATTGTTGGGATGAATGCAGCACTACGAAGGCCTGGGGTCATGTGACCAGGGGGAGTCAGGATCCAAGGGTTGGGTTTTGCTGAGCAGAGGTGAACAAGAGACATCTTCTGTAATCATCACTGTGGTCAGCAGCCTCCAAGGAGACCCTCGATGACCCCTGCCCCCTGGTATTCACACTCTTGGGCCGTCCCTGCCAAATGGGACCATGTCATGTGAGCAGCCCCACGGAGACGCCATGTGGTGAGGAGCTGAGCTCCTGCCAACAGCAAGGCAAAGGCATCACCTTGAAAACCCAGCCTCTAGCACCAGAAAAGCTTCAAATGACCGCAGCCCTGGCCAACGACCGGACCGCACCCTTGTGGAAGACTGAGCCTGAGCCATCTGGTCAACTACACCCAGCTTCCCGATCCTCAGAAAACTGTGTGACACAATGAACATTGGTTTACCGTGTCAAGTGTTGGGGTCATTTGTTCCATATCAATGGATAGCAGATATGATCAACAGTACAGATTAGATGAATGAACTTGGTGTGTGCTCTCCAGAGCTCTGGGAGTTAATGGAATTTGGAGAGGAAGCAGCCCCTGCACTTTCGGGGTGCCCCCTGGACATCGGTCCAAAATCTCACACCCAGTATCTTGAGAAACAGAGGTTACAGACAGTCATACACACATTTCTGTACAGGTTTTTGCTAGTAGAAATGACTTTTTATCCTTTCAAGAACAAAATCAGTGATTATAAAATCCCATACATATGATGACTAAAACCCAGCTAACAAGCGATATGAGAAGAAATCATTCCTTTTTTTTTAAGATTTTATTTGACAGGGAGACAGTGAGAGAGGGAACACAAACAGGGAGAGTGGGAGAGGGAGAAGCAGGCTTTCCCTGGAGCAGGGAGCCCGACACGGGGCTCGATCCAGGACCCTGGGATCATGACCTGAGCCGAAGGCAGACACTTAACGACTGAGCCTGTCCAGGCGGCCCGAAGAAGAAATAATTTCCTAAGAAAGATCTCTAGTTCAGAAACAAAATTTACCAAAACTCAAAGAAATGAGTAAGTTTATTCTGACATTCTACAAAGGAGTGTATCTTATAGAAGACATCCTAAGATTAGCCAAATACGTCATTGTGGAGCAGGCCATTCCAAGCTGTGAGACTTAGCCTCTGAGGAGGAGCTCACCAATATGATTATGGGAGCAGCAATCACAGTGATCAACTGCCCAAGGGCTTCAAAGGCCAGGGTTAAGTGTAGAAGCAACCGTGCTTAAAAAAAGAAAAAAAGTTTAAAAGTTTAGTTGCGGGGCACCTGGGTGGCTCAGTTCTTAAGCGTCTGCCTTCGGTTCAGGTCATGATCCCAGGGTCCTGGGATGGAGCCCCACGTTGGGCTCCCTGCTCGGCAGAAAGCCTGCTTCTCCCTCTCCCACTCCCCCCGCTTGTGTTCCCTCTCTCGCTGTGTCTCTCTGTCAAATAAGTAAAATCTTTAAAAAAATAAATAAATAAAAGTTTAGTTGCTGCCAACCTGCCCAACTTGGGAAGAAGCAAATAATTACTTGCTCTGATATGAGTAAGGAAACCTACATATGAAAACCAAAAATGGCCCCAAAGATCAACTCCTGTCTCAACTGCTAACATGTCATTCCTATTTAACAGACAGGGAGGACTTACTGGGAGCAGTGTGCCCGCAGCAGGAACTTGAGAGCCCAGGGAGCCCACCACCCAAGGAACAAGGGAGGAGTCCCAGGGTGGGAGTGGGCAGATGTCTCCTCTTCTCCCCCTCCTTCCCACAGCTTGGGCTCCTGAGGAGCGCTTAGCTCACACACACACCCGCTATCAGGGTGTGAATGCAGAGAGACCTAAGACATGCCCTGACTCACACCGGACGGAGTTCACCCGGAGATCACCTCAGATGGTTATGGGAAGCCACGCTGAGCCGTCCTGATGTACACAGAGTTCAGAGAGCCGAGGAAGGACAAATGAGTAAGCAGAAGTTAAGAAGTACAGAAAGAATAAAGCTAGCCAGTGATGGAAGGCCTGAGGGCCGAGGAAGTTCCAGTGAGCCAGCTCTCCTAGGCCTCATCTTTCCAGGGTCCAGGTCACGGGCACCTGAATGCTTAAACCAGAGCCCTAGTGTCCAGGGGGCACTGAAGCGGGGCGGGGTTCAGAGTCACCTGAGGCCCTGGACACAGCCAACCTCCAAAGCAGCTGTTAAATGCATTTGAATAGGAGCACCTGGGTGGTTCAGTCGGCATCTGCCTTCAGCTCAGGTCCTGGTCCTCTCCCTCTGCCTGCCGCTCTGCCCACTTGTGCTCTGTCAAGTAAAGAAATAAAATCTTCAAAAAAAACACATTTGAAGAAATGCACTGATAATGCATTCTCCCACAATCTCATTTGCCTCGACATCCCAGGAATAAACTCCTAGATATAAATGACTTCCAGCTTCATGGGCTGTTCTCACGTACTTTTATTGTATTTTATCGTTATGACAACCCCGTGGGAAACCCAGGGCTGCTATTAGCCTCGCTTTGCAGATAATTATTATCCCCATTTTAATGATGAGAAAATTGAGGCTTGGAGAAGGCAGCAACTTGCTCAAGGTCACAGTCTGAGGACAGAAGCCAGTGTTCTTCTGCCAGAGGTTGGCCCTTTGCCATCACCCTGCACTGCTTCCCACTGAAGCGCCAGGCAGTCAGACCACAGTAACAATTTTAGTCCAAGCAGTATTAGTAGGAGCGTATTTTACACTCTTCCCAGACATGTTCACGGTTCTTAGAGGCTTTGAGTCATGAATCCTCTGGAGTGGATGATGAGCGAACAGGGATGAGGGTGGAGGGCCTGGTCACGTCCCATCAGGGCACATTGCACAAGCGTTGGTAAGGTGCAAGGAACCACTCTCTCGGAAGTTACAGTCACAGGACTGGCCTGGGCAGAGTGAGAGCAGGAGAAGGGAAGGCAGTAAGTGGGTGGGGCAATTTATTTTTTATTTTTTATTTATTTGTCAGAGAGAGACAGAGCACAAGCAGGGAGAGCAGCAGGCAGAGGGAGAAGCAGGCTCCCCGCTCAGCAGGGAGCCCGACGCGGGGCTCGATCCCAGGACCCTGGGACCACGACCAGAGCCGAAGGCAGCCGCCTAACGACTGGGCCACCCAGGCGCCCCTGGGTGGGGCAATTTAACCAGCGAAAGAAGGAAGGGGGGGTGGGGAGTTGGGGAGGAAGGACTGATGGTGAAGGAAGGTGGTAGGGGGACAGGAGAAGCAAAGGAAAGGAAGTGAGCTCAGTTGTGTGAACCACCCGCAGCCCTGGGCCTAGGGGCTGCTCCCTCCACAAACCAACCACAAATAAGAAAGAACCTCTGCAGAAGCACCAGCTGCTGGAGGGCTGAGCACCCGTCATCAGGACACGGAGCTTAAAAACCGTCCCTACACCTTCCTAGTTTCAGCAGTGAGGCAGGGGACGGGTTCACACATCGCGATACTTTTAGAATACCTAAGGAATAATGGAGGAGAGTGTGGGCCCAGAAACCAGTCAGACCAGCTCTGAGACCATGCCATCAATTCTTAGCTGGGTTGCTTTTAATTTTTGAGTCTGTTTCCTCATCTGTAAAATAGACATAAGAGGACCTCAGAGTTGTGAATATAAGGTATCTGATAATGGGGGCACGCGGGTGGCTCAGTCGGCTAACCGCCAGCCTTCGGTTCTGTCCTGACCCCAGGGCCCTGGGATGGAGCTGTCAGGATCCCCACTCGGCGGGGAGTCTGCTGCTCCCTCCCTCCCCACCACCCCCCTGCTCGTGCTCTCTCTCAAGTAAATAAAATATTTAAAAAAGAGAGTGACTGATACGGACCAGGCCACCAGTTAGCACCAGGATCGCTTGTAGGGGTTTGTGGACGACAGAGAGGTACACGTTACCACACGGACCCACCTGGTCTGATTTTTCTACTAAACGAGCCGAAAGCTCGAGCGGTCAGCAGTCTCAAAGCTGAGCGCTCAAGCGCTGGGAAAGAAGTGGACCAGCAGGAGCAGCGGCGGCCGGGGGCAGGGGGCTGGCTGGGCGCAGGGACAGTCCCCTGGGCCACGATCCCGATGACCGACTTCTGACATCGTCGTGCCCCCAGCAGAAAAGAACCAGTTAAGATGTTTAACTGTCCGAAATGAAACCCCCGCAGGATGAGGGTTCGGCCTGCGCCAGGGCGCGCGGCCACCCTCCCTCCTCTGAAGCATGAACCAAGGGCAAGACCCTGCGGCCAGGGGCGCCTGGGTGGCTCAGTCGTTAAGCGTCTGCCTTCGGCTCAGGTCATGATCCCGGGGTCCTGGGATGGAGCCCCGCATCGGGCTCCCTGCTCGGCCGGAAGCCTGCTTCTCCCTCTCCCGCTCCCCCTGCTTGTGTTCCCTCCCTCGCTGTCTCTCTCTCTGTCAAATAAATAAATAAAATCTTAAAAAAAAAAAAAAAAAAAAGACCCTGCGGCCAGGAGACGGGCAGCCGGGCCAGGGTCCCGGGTGGGGCTAGGGGTCCGGGTCTCGGCTGGAGGCTGAGGCCGTGCGGTCGGGGACGGATCCGGGTTAGGATTCCTCGTGGGGGTCGGGGTCCGGGTCCCGGGTGGGGGTCGAGGTCCCGGGTCCGAGCGCCAGCTCTCCGGGCACGGTTCCCTCGGGCTCTCGCGCTCCGCCGCGCAACCCCGCGACCGGGCGGCCCTCTCCAGCAGCGACGCCCCCGAACGGCGTGGCCGCAGCACGCAGCCCGGCGCGGAGTCCCGGTTCCCCCCCCCTCCCAGGCTCTCCTCGCGGCGCTCCGCCCCGGGTGGCATCTAATCAACCGCTAGGGAACGCCAGGACAGTCGGACTGCAGCGGGCGCGGGGCACCAGCTCTGCCAGCCACGACCGCGCAGGCGCCCCCCGGGCGCTCCGACCGCGCAGGCGCCGCCTCCGGGCCAACATGGCGGCCGCGTTGCTGCTGCTGCGCGCCCTCCGCCCGGGCCGGGCCGCGGGGTCCGGGCCACTGCGGGGCCCCTGCTCGGGCTGGAGCCTAGGCCTCTCCCTCGGGGCCGGAAGGAGGTGCCGGCACTTCGTCCACAGGCCTGCGATCCGGCTCCTGGGGGCCGGAGGCCACGCCAAGCAGGTACCCGCCGACCCCGGGCCGGGCCCCGCCCATTCCAACCCCTGACCCGCTGCCGCCCCCTCTTCCACCCCCCCACCCCTCGGCGGGCACCTCCCATCCCCGGGCGGGCTCCGCCCATTCCTCCCCGAGCGCGCCCCATCCCCGGGCCCCCCTCCCCGGCAGACCCCGAGCGAGAGCGGCGCGGTCGGGTGCAGGGACCCCCGTGCGTGCGGAGAGGCCGCCCGGGCAGCCCTGGAGGAGACTCCGCACAGGTCCCAGCCTGCATTTTTCCAGCCCTTTTTTGGTGTATTGATATTTGCTGCTTATGTGGTTGCCTTCCTGGCGTCTTGGGTGCCTGGCCCAGTCGGTGGAGCATGCGACGAGATCCTGGGTTGTGAGTTCGAGCCCCACCCATGTGGGCTGTAGAGCTTACTTAAAAATAAAATCTTTAAAAATATATTACAAGGGCCGCCTCGGTGGCTCCTATCCCGGGGTCCTGGGACCGAGCCCCGAGTCGGGCTCCCTGCTCAGTGGGGGAACCTGCTTCTCCCGGGTGGCTCTCGGTCGGCGAAGCATCTGCCTTCGGCTCAGGTCGTGATCCCGGGGTCCTGGGATCGAGTCCCGCGTCGGGCTCCTTGCTCAGTGGGGAGTCTGCTTCTCTCTCTCCCTCTCCCCCTGCTTGTGTTCCCTCTCTCGCTCTCCCTCTCTCTCTGTCTCAAATAAGTAAATAAAATTTTTTTTAAAAGTTTTATATTTTTAGAAGATTTTATTTTTTTTTTTTAATTTATTTGAGAAAGAGAGCGAGATACCACAGAGGCAGAGAGAGAAGCTGATCTGCAGCTGAGCAGGGAGCTGGATGCGGGACTGATCCCAGGACCCTGGGATCATGACCTGATCCTAAGGCAGACGCTTCACCTACTGAGCCACCCAGGCGCTCCCCACAAAACAGTTTTAAAAATTGAACCCAGTAAGAGTTTCGTGGAGAACTGTTTCACAATTGGCTCACGTGGATCAGACCTCATGAAGATGAGCTCCACACGGTACTTGGCCGTTACTCCAAGGGGGGGTGATGGTTTTGTGTGAGCGAAGTACCGTGTGGCTGTATCTTATCTGTATCCTGTAGCTTCACGTGTTGTGGCCCCGAACTGACTGAGCACTGTCCAGTGAAGGTGCACTCCAGGCTCTGCTCAGGTTAACTATCCAGAAAACAAAGACCCCAAATCCTGCTGCCATTTTGGCTGGTGTTTCCCTCCAGTCCTCTCTTAGGGGCTCAACACACACATTTTAGGTCATAATTTGTTACTGTTGTTCTATTTTACCATAACTTGAGGACCAGTGTGAATTACAATACTGGCCGTCCTCTGTATTTTTTGTTTCTTTTCAGAGTTTGCAGCTGTGCCTGCGAACCCCAACCGTTGAAGGGTTCAGTGGATTGTTGTTGAAACAGCATCTAGTCCAGAATCCAGTCAGACTCTGGAAACTCTTAGGTGTGTATCTTGTGGAACACAGGTAGTAGGTACATCCTGTGACATCTGTAAATAGATCAGATAAAGCTGCTGGTTTGACACTGACAGCGAAAGGAAATCACTCAGAGGACTTTGGCTTCTGTTTATTGTGAGCCCTTAGATGCTCTAAAGTGCAGTTTACAGACAGACAGACTGAATAAGGTCTGAACAGGCCACGTGTGCTTACCTGAGTCGTCCCCCCTCCCCTTTTTTAAAATCTGATGTATGGCAGTAATTGGGCTGCTTACAAGGTTTTCCATATTCTCTAGCCAGCTGCAAGAACATCTAGTAGGGATCTTCAGAGTGGCTCTGTATGTTTTATATCCAGAAGGTAACTACAAACAGCCCACAAGTAATTTATGTTTAACAATAGTTTTATCATTCAGTGAGACACCATGACATCCTCAAGAGAGATCTTAGGTCAAAGGACTTAGGACCTCCAGGATTGACAATGGGATCTTACGTCCCCCCTCTATCCAGGTGGAACCAGGAAAAGTGGAATCTCCCAACTCCTAAAGGACGTTACGTGGCTTGGTGCCCACATGTGGTCAGCCGCGTGCTCACCTCCTGTGTGTGTTTCCCCACTTAAGTGTACGCATGTGCCCGGTGGCACATGCCTCACTCTCCAGACAGCCTGGTCCTGTGTCCAGGGGCCATCAAGGTAGTCTCACTTGTGGTTCTGTTAACCTTGTGAAGAAAGGCACAGCTGTCATGGTTGGTGAGACTCTCTTTCCTCTCCTTTTAAACATTAATTCAGTTAGACGGTGGACAAGACCCGTGCCTTTCGTGGGAGGAGTGTTGTGTCTTGGTGATGGTGGCCACTGGGATGCTGTTGATGCACGTGTCAGAGCCACCGTGTTGCTCATTAGTTTAAATTAGTTTAGAGTGACTGTGATTATTGAAGGGGTTGTTATGCAACAAGCTCATGAGACTTCCTCAGTATACATTCATAAGGACGTTTTATTCCCTTGCATTGCTGATTTGAATTACAAAGATACTCTGTAAGTTTAAATGGTTTATTATTCTATAATTAGCAGCTACTATACTAAGAATGATCATCCCAAACTTCTAAATCTTACGAATATAGGTTTCAGATGGCTTCTGTTTTGGTTTGGTTACTGAAGAACATACTCTTCTGAGCGCTTCTCTGTAGGGGCAGATCTTGTTAAACACGTTCCCTATTCCTTGCAGGTGGCAGTTACTATTTTAACACTTCCAGGATGAAGCAGAAGACGAAGGACAATGATAAATCTAAGGGGAGGACCCCTGAAGATGATGAAGGTATATCTATTTGACTTTCTTAAATAATGGCTGCTTTGGTTGTCTGCACATGTGTGTTCTGGTCTCAGCAACAGGAAACATGTCTTAAAAGTAGCATGAGCCCAGGGGTGGCCGCGCGGCTCAGTGGGTTAAGTGTCCAACTCTTGGTTTCGGCTCAGGTCATGATCTCAGGGTCGTGAGATCGAGCCCTGCATCGGGCTCCACACTCACCGGGGAGTCTACTTGAGATTCTCTCTCCCTCTGTGCCCCCACTCTCTCAAATAAAATAAATAAGTCTTTTAAAAAAAAAAAAAGAAAAGTTAAAAGCAAACGTAGGGTGCACCTAGGCCCCTGTGTCTCCCTTACTGTGAGCACACCTACCTCCAGTCTTTAATGTGATTACTGGATCTTTTCCTTGCCTGTCCTTTAGAGGTGCTTCCATCAGCTCGTGGGTCCCTTGTCCTGTCCAGACATCTGAAGGCAGGCAGAATTATAGTCCTCTGCGTGCAAAGGGTGAACCTCCGATCTGCCTTCAACTCAAGTGTTCTGGGGTGGGGAGGAAGGCACTTGGTCGGACCCACCCCACACGGGCTCCTGATGATGTGTAGACTTGAGAAGCAGCCCCCAGAGGAGAGGTTGGTATGGTGCGTGGCCTCGAGGAAGGAGTGAGACACATCGCTGTCCTGTGTGAGTGACCACTGTGTACCCCAGTTCACAACAACCTCACTTGCAAATCTTGAGGCTCATCTGTAGAATTAGGACTCTGATCAGGCAAAGGGTGAGGGCAATAAAAAGGTCAGTTTAAACTGAATCGACTCCAAGGTAAAAGCTGGCTGCTTGGAGCTAATGAGAATGGAAATTGCTAACCCACTGCAACAACTGGAGTGTGCTCAGCACTGTACTAAGTGATTCATATGTCTTCTCCATTAATTCTGTCCTCATAATTACCCTATTACCGTCCCCTGTCCTGTGAGGAGTCTCCAGAAGGGCACACAGGTGGAGAGATGGTTGTCTTGCCAAGGAACTGCCTCGAACTTAGGTGCTGATTTTGTTGTCCTTTACTTATTTTTATTTATTATTTATTTATTTGAGAGAGAGAGCATGACCATGGGGGGCGGGGCTGGGGGAGGAGGGGCAGGGGGAGAGGGAAAAGCAGACTCCACGCTGATCAGGGAGCCTGACAATGTGGGACTCGATCCCAGGACCCCAGGATCATGACCCTGAGCCAAAGGTAGACACTTACCAACGGAGCCACCCAGGTGCCCCTATTTTTTATTATTATTTTTAAAGTAATCTTTTTGCCCAATGTGGGGCTCTAACTCACAACCCTGAGAGTTGCACACTCCACCGACTGATCCAGCCAGGTACCCCCAGCTTCAGGCTCTTTTGGAATAGGTCTTAACTCCTGGAAACCAGTAGCCATTGCTTGGGTTCGGTTTAGATATTCCTGGTTTCAGGCTTCATGGGGCATCCCTCCGGGCAGTCACTCATTTCTTTTGCTGACAGAGGTCCTGGGGAACTTGGCTCTTCCTCAGAAGGCTTCTGAGTTAAAAGGTTTTCAGGGGTGGAGGATGAGGATTTGGTTCATCAGAAAATCTACAGGATTTTGAAAAACAAACATCAGTGAGGCTGATAGTGGCAGATATTAAAATGTGAGTTAACGTGTTGGTCCAGTGATAGGTAGGAAGTGTAACGGAACAAAATAGAAAATCCAGAGGCAGAGTCTGTTTATCTAAGAATTCATATGTAACTGCAGTGGCATTTCACGCAGTAGCAGAAGGGAGGCTTGTGTACGAAATGGTGTGGAAAAGTTGCTGTTACTTGGAGAGAGACTATTTCACATGTTCCAAAATAAATCCTGCATGGATGAAGTCATTAAATCTAAAAAGCAAAGGATGAAAGAATCAGAAAGAACCTTGGGGCAAAATTTCATATCTCAAAATTGTAACCGAAGACAGCGGTAACGATGAAGGGTTTCCAGTAAAGGAAGAGGTCGTGGGCAGCGAGCGTGCTGGCGGCCTGCCTGGCGCGCGGTGTCCCAGCCATTGTGGCGCAAGGGACAGCAGAGGCAGAAGGAGGAGTCTCCCCGCTTCCGTCCCTTGCTCTGTCCAGCAGCCGCGCGCGTCCAGGGTGTCTGCAGCTTCTGCCCTCTTTGTGCGATTGCTTTGTAGTTGGTAGTGTAAGTTAGTTGAGAAGATGGGATGAAGCTCGTGTCTGCTGAATTTTAATGAGAGGGTAACGACTCGCTTGACCAGAGTGTTTTCCTCTCTGTGAGAACGTGCCGTGGGTCTTCCTGGTTCTGCTGCGCGCTGGTGAGGGTCTGGCCCGCTGGGAGCGCCCACACCCTGACTGCACGCAGCGGGCACAGCCTGGGTCTCATCCGCAGGGTCTCGCCCGCAGGGCTGGCGGCAGTCTTGAATGAAGAGCCAGTCCCAGAAGCTTGCGTGCCACGTGGTTCCCATTTAGAGCCCATTCTCCAGAGACATGGGCACAGGGGTGGCGAACAGTGTTGGCAGGGCCTAGGAGCTGGGCAGCCCCCGCAGGGACGAAGTCCTGTGTGTCTTCACTGGCGGAAAAGTGCACAAAACTAAGACCAAGGGCATGTGTCAGTAGGGGCGGTCTGAATAAGGCCGGGAGGCTGCGTCGCTGTCCGGGATTGTAAAAAGTTACTGCTGGAAGCAACTGGGCGGAAGATAGTTTTGTGTTACTACCTAGGATTACACGTGAATCTACAGTATCACATAATAAAAGTGTAGCTAAAAAAGCAGTTGCTGGAGTCTCCAGACCACTTTGGTGCTAGTGCTTCTTGTCCCTGACGTTGAGGATGCACCATGAGTGTTCTCTGGAGTTGCCGTCTCCCATCTGGGGTGGGCCCAGCGCCAGCTGACTGTTGGAAAGAACTGGACTGTCACTGCAAGCCTCATAAGCTTCTCGCCACAGTGCCTGCGTTCAGGGTTAGTGGGAGTAAGTTCTTCCAGAAGGACTTCCGGACAGAAAACCTGGGGCAGCTCTGGAAGCTGTCTCCCTGAAACTCTGCCGTTGTCGGTCACTGACCTGTGTGTAGGTGGCTGACGCAGGGCGCCCTGGCAGTGATGGACGCCACCCCTCTGAAGGGGGATTTTGGCACCAGAGTTTCCGGGCAGGAGGCAGCAGTGTTTCCTGGGCTTAGCCCTCGGCTCTCCGTGAGCCTGTCGTTAGCGTCAGGAGCCAAAGTAAATGCGAGAGCTGTGGGGAGCACTGCGCCCGAGGGCAGCCTTCACAGATGCAGTTGGATGCAGCTGCAGGGAGGCGCAGCGGAGCAAGGGGTCCTTGAGGAACAGACTGATGAAAGGCCATTTTCCAGTTAGACTCTCAGGGTCAGATTTTGTTTCATGTCTCAGACCTCACACATCTTACTTTCATGGAGCCAGTCCTCTGTCTCACACCCACACCTTCCTCTTTTGTCTTTTTCAGACCGGCCCTCATAATTTCATACCTGACCAACACTACAGATATGTGAGGTTTTCCTTTGTTTTCAAAAGATTTTATTTTTGGGGCGCCTGGGTGGCTCAGTCATTAAGCGTCTGCCTTCAGCTCAGGTCATGGTCCCAGGGTCCTGGGATCGAGCCCCGCCTCGGGCTCCCAGCTCCCTGCTCCACGGGAAGCCTGCTTCTCCTTCTCCCACTCCCCCTGCTTCTGTTTCCTCTCTTGCTGTGTCTCTCTCTGTCGAATAAATGAAATCCTTAAAAAATAAAAATAAAAAAATAAAAGATTTTATTTTTAGTAACTGCTGCAAGCCTGGGATCAAGAGTTGCATGCTCCGCTGACTGAGCCCGCCAGGCGCCCCCAGAAATGTGTGTTTTACATTTGATGTCCTTGGGTTAAGTTTCAGAGTACAGTTAGGGAGTTAAGGAAACACAGTGTTTTCTGTGGCTCTTGGGACACCCAGCCAGGTTGCTTTCAGGAAGGCTTCCTCATGCGTACCCCTGGACAGCGTGTGCGGCGCCAGCTCACCGCACCTCGTGGGCCTGGGCTAGTGCGAATGGACGGAGCGCGTGTTCACACACCCTCCTTGCTGGATGGGTCCTGCCCGGTGGGGCGTGCTGTATCTGTCTCCTTAGTGCCCAGGGAGGGAGGAGGACTCAGGGTGATTGTGGCTCAGAAGCAGAGTAGGAGTTCTGTTGAGACGTGCAAACGATTTTCACCTGACCTCCATGATCCGTCCTGGAGCTTCAGAGCAGTAACCGCTCTGGGTTGGGGCTTCCCTGTTCCTGCACCAGGAGATCCTTTTTTTTTTTTTTTAAGATTTTATTTATTTATTTGACAGAGAGAGACAGAGCAGGAACACAAGCAGGGGGAGTGGGAGGGGGAGAAGCAGGCTTCCCGCCGAGCAGGGAGCCTGATGCAGGGCTCGATCCCAGGACCCTGGGATCATGACCTGAGCCGAAGGCAGACGCTTAACGACTGAGCCACCCAGGCGCCCAGGAGATCCTTTCATAATGGGGTCTGCGGCCTCCAGGCCCTGGCCAGGCAGATCCTTCTCCCTGAAATAGGCCGACGGGGGCGGTTCCGCGTGTGACAGGACACCTGGCTGGTTTTTACTTGAAAAGGGTTGGATTTATGAAGAAAGAAGACGTGTTTATTGGAGCCTAAATTAAAGCTGTCTTTTTATTGTTTAGAAACTCTTACAAAAATGTGCAAAGCTATGTGTTACTTAAAACCAAGCCATATCTGGGACACCCAGCTGACTCCGTCACTGGAATATGTGACTCTTGATCTCAGGGTTGTGGATTTGAGCCCCACATTGGGTACAGAGCTGACTTCAAAAAAGAAATGAAATCTTTTTAAAAATAAATAAATGAAACCAAGCCGTATCTTTTAAAAATTGTAGACCTGCTTTGCATTCTGCAAGCAGACACGTGTGAGTTGTAGAGTTGCTGCAAGCCCTTCTCCACGAGGGGTGTGCTGTGTGGCGGGCAGAGCGGTGAGGAAAGGCCATGTCGTCACGCAGCCTGGGCCCAAATTTGTACATCCTCCCAGTGGCTTGTGTGCAGGAGCTGCCGGCCAAGAGCATGGGGGTGTGCATGCCGTTTCAGGGTCTCCAGTCGGTCACACGAGCTTCTGCTGGTGGAGAGTCCCATTTGCCAAGGGTGATGACTGTCACCATTGTTAATGAGAACACAAGACTGGGGGTTAAATAGAAAATTAAATGAAATACATGGTTTCTAAATAATTACCTACTCACCTGAGAACATAAATTTGTTTTCCAAGACAAGTGGTACCGTTATTTTGTTGCCACTTGTGACTGTGAGCTTTAAAATATTAAATTTGCTATTATCCTCCATTCTCAGATAAGGTAACATCTGAAATGTGCTTTCATGTTTTCAGAATGATTGCTGACACAGCCTTCTCTAAGATTCATTTTATGTTTTTTTTTTTTTTAAGATTTTATTTATTTGAGAGAGAGAGAGCCTGAGAGGGGAGAAGGGCAGAGGGAGAAGCAGACTCCCCGCCTGGCAGGGAGCCCGATGTGGGGCTCGATCCCAGGACCCTGGGATCAGAACCTGAGCCAAAGGCACACGCTCAACGACTGGGCCACCCAGGCACCCTCATTTTGCATTGTTAAGCTGATTTAAAATGCCTTTCAGGGGCGCCTGGGTGGCTCAGTCATTAAGCATCTGCCTTTGGCTCAGGTCATGATCCCAGGGTCCTGGGATCAAGCCCCGCATTGCGCTCCCTGCTGAGCGGGGAGTCTGCTTCTCCCTCTCCCACTCCCCCTGCTTGTGTGCTCGCTCTCTCTCCCTCTCTGTCAAATAAATAAATAAAAGTCTTAAAAAAAAAAAATGCCTTTCAGTTCCTCTAAATGGATGGCCAGAGAGGAGGGTTGTGTGTCTGTGGATGGTACGCCTGCAAGCAGAGCAGAGGGAAGTGGGTAGACACGGAGGTCCAGCTGCGCTCTTGTCCCTGGAGGAAGGACCACACGTGCACGTGCAGCTTGGGCTGAGCCCTATGCCCGTGCGGGGCCCTCCGTGCTCTCCCCCCGAGTGGATGCTGTGTTTGTGCAGGAGAAGTAAATGGTGGAAGCTTTGGTTGCTCCGATTGGTCGGGGCCATCTTGGGCAGGGCTGGAGAAGGACGGTACACGCACTTCTCAAAAGGCATCACTCACGACGGGCCCGGTAAAGTCCGGATGCAGTGTCGGGAGGATGGGCCGTGCCACACAGGTGAGGGCTGCATTGTAGTCCAGGCCTTCTGGTGTGGAAATGGAGATGCCAGATGCTTCTAAGGACTGGCGGGTGGGCCAGCGAGGAGACACAGCATCATGGAAATGCGGTGTGGAGACTGCCCTTGGTCCCCAGCAGGGGAGGGGCTTATCTGACCAGCTGGTTTGGGAGGAAGACTGTGGCCTGGCCGTGGGTGGCTGTAAGCAGGACTCTCTCCCGTCTGTGCTGTGGGCCTGAGGGAGGCGACTCCTGCTGTCCTCCTGGTCCTCCCGTTGTGCTTACTCTTCCTTCCCTCCCGGAGCCTCCCCGTGGTGGCCGTGCTGGGAGCTGCTTCTCGCAGTTCCTTATGCTGTGTGTTAATGGCCTCCTGTGTCACCTCCCAGGTGTCCATGCGCCCCAAGGTCAGGGGCTGAGGCTTGTGTCTTTTTGTCCCCCAAGAACTGGGCACAGTGCAGTCTGTATCCTAATAATGTGATTATTTATCTGATGGTTTGGATAAAGAGTTGGTTGCTGGGAACATTCTTGAATTAAGTGGTTCCCCCCCCATATGTCGAGGATAGGTGGCTGTTGGAGAGGGGAGGGCAGATGGTGGTAAAAGGTGTTTCTTTGTTATTAATGGGTTGCATGTGCCACACGCATCATGGGTGACCGTATGACGTCAGGGTTCGAATGTGCCTCCGGTGGAGGGCTTACCACAGAGATACAGCACATGCAGGTGCCGGGAAGCTTCTGACCATAAAACTGGCTTTGTGCTCTGAGTAGACGTGACCTCGGTGAGTGCAGTGTTGGCGGCCTTGACTGGCGTGTGATGAGTGTCTCTCCTGTGTCTGTCGCTCCCCCTGGTCACCCTGCTCGCAGAGGAGAGGAGACGCAAGGAGAGAGAGGACCAGATGTACCGCGAGCGGCTGCGCACCTTGTTTGTCATCGCCGTGATCATGAGCCTGCTGAACGCGCTCAGCACCAGCGGGGGCAGCATTTCCTGGAACGACTTTGTGCACGAGATGCTGGCGAAGGGCGAGGTGCAGCGCGTGCAGGTGGTGCCTGAGAGCGATGTGGTGGAGGTCTACCTGCACCCTGGAGCTGTGGTGTTCGGGCGGCCTGTGAGTGAGGGCGGAGCCCCTTTTCCTTCGTCCCCACTGCCCTGAGCCGAGCTTAATGTGCTTGAATTGGGGACAGGAGCTGGGGGGCCTGCAGCGGCGGTCCTGAGGTCCCGCCCTGTGGGTCTGGTCCTGGCTGCAGGTTAGCACCCAGGGCAGCTTGGGCAGCTGCTGGTGAGTCGAGGGGATTCCTGGGGGCCCCAGGGTAGGAAACTGTGTGCTCTGTGAGGGTGGCTGAGAGTTGGGGTCGGGCAAGGGCCTGCTCACCTCCCCACCTCAGGTGCCCCCAGGAGGGAGCCCAGTGTGCTCACCAGAGGAGGGGTCCGGAGGGTGGGATTTGGTCCCAGGGAGAGGGCTGGGCATTGGGGGTGGGGGGGGTCCCAGAAGCTGACTCTGAATGCCTGCTGTGGAAGCAATCACCATCCTCCCCACCCCGTAACCACAGCACCGGCAGGCCCAGGAGAGGTAGCGACATGTGAATATTTTCCAAAGCACTTCCCCTGATCCTGTTCCCTGGTCATCTCTAGACTGACGTTAAGAGCTATTTTATTAGTATTTTATTTTATCATTTTTTTTTAAGTAGGCTCCACCAGCATGGAGTCCAACGCAGGGCTTGAACTCACGACCCTGAGTTCAAGACCTGAGCTGAGATCAAGAATTGGACGCTTAACCCACTGAGCCACCGAGGCGCCCTTTATTAGTAGTTTTAATCCAGGATCACATCAAGGACCAGGAATTATATTTAGTTGTCATGTTTCTTTAGTCTCCTTTCCATTTTTTGTTAGAGGTTTGGGTGGTGGAGACACTGGACCAGGTAAAATGCTGGGAGACAGGTGTCCAGTGTGGACACACTCTGCTTATGGGGAGCACAGGTGGACTCCTGGGCATAGCGCTGGGCCCCTCACGATAGCACCAGGGGTGTACCCCAGCCCCTGCCCGGGTTCTGGATTGGGCTGAGTGCCAAGCACTGTGTTTACAGCTGGTTGTTGGTTTACAAGAGCTTGTAATTTAGTTGGGCTGACAGGCTCCTCCTGGTCCTGCATACCGCGTGAGCTGGGTGACCTTGCAGAAGCCCAGGCGGTCAGAGACGTGGGAGTTGAATTGGCCTCTGGAATCACATTTTGCTTTTGGCTTCTGGCAGAGAAAGAAGGTCATTGCCACGTGTTTCCAGTCTATTCACCTGGCTGGGCAGGTGTTTGAGTGACAGAGGCGTGGATGAAGTCCAGATCAGACATTCGGGGTCTGTTAGGTTAATCCAGCAACTGAGGCCCCTGGGCATTCCAACGCAGATGACGATCAGTGTGTCATGGCTGGTGGGTGCCCCTAGCTGCCTCTCCCTTCTGGCCCTGTGACCCTGTGACATGCCGCCTGGCCAGCCGCTCATTCCACACAGAATCTTCTGAGGCTCTCAGCGCCAGGGGAGAGTCTGGTTGCTCCATGTAGATTCCACAGTGCGTTTAGAAGCTGTGCTTGGAACAGCTTCATTCTAGAAAGCATTTGGACCAGGCCCTTAGGAGAATGATGTGGGACTGGCAGGATGCCGTCCAGGCCGGTGGAGATCAGGATGGCCCCTTGGTGGGTGGCTCAGGTCAGCTCACAGAGCAGGGATTTGGGGACCCAGCATGGACTTCTGGCTTGCTCTGGAGCCTCCTCTCAGGGAAGCCTGTACCCCTGGAGGACACTCCCCCTGCACACAATCCCTGAGCCTCTTCTCTAGCCGGGAGAGGTTTACTGAGAAGAGAGAAATCCACTTAGCTGAGTTTCACATTCAGCCAGTGGTGAAGCACCAGACCTGTGTTCTTGCCTTAGCGAGTCGCCTGCATCCCGGCAAATATCTCGTGTCTGCGGTGTGTCTCTGTGCTCTGCACACACAGCTGAGGCTGGGTGGTGAGTTTAAAGCCTAAAGCACACCCTCTTGTTTTCTTAAATGTTCCTGTTAGTGAAAAGAGAGCAAGCACACGTATGGAAGTTCGCTGTAATTGGGATCTGGACGTGGTTTCTGAATGGTAGATGGAAGTTCAGCTTCCGGAGCACTGCGGGGTATGGGTGCTGTGTCTCACGGCTGTCCTCAGCCCGCGTGTCACCTGCACTGTCTCTGCTCTCTGCCCCCAGCGGCTGGCCTTGATGTACCGGATGCAGGTGGCAAACATCGACAGGTTTGAGGAGAAGCTCCGAGCTGCTGAAGACGCCCTGAATATTGAAGGCAAGGACAGGATCCCGGTTTCCTATAAGCGGACAGGATTCTTTGGAAAGTATGTTGGTCATTTTTTGGCTCCTGACCTAAACCAGGCTTGGCTTTGTAATGTGATAACAAACCACCATCTCACACTGGCCTTGCCTCCAGTAAAGCTGCCCCCATGTGGGAGGGTAAGTAGGCGTGCGAGCCGATGACCACGCGTGGGGACAGGCATCGTGGGCCTGGTGGAGCGTCTTTCACTTTCCTCAGTTGTTGGTTCAGTACATTGTGAGGCTGCCGTCTTGTACAAACAGGAAAATGGAACAGAAAGGGCAGAGCAGGGACGTCCAGTAGAAGTTCTTGCTTCCTTGTGGCAGGTGGAAATGGGGACCCTGTTGGGCCTGTGGGACCTGCATCTCCTTAGTAGGAGCACATTAACTTGCAGAGTCCCGGGGGTGTTTCATGGCATGCTGGGACACCAGTGGCTGGAACTCGTGTGTGGAGAGGTTCACTCGTGGACATGTGCCCACACTAAGACGCGGGATGCCAGTGACGGCAGGCACTCCTGAGAGGTAGCCGTTCTCTCCTGAGGGTGCAGGCCTCCAAGGCCGAGGGGCCGTCGGCAATGGCGGGAGGTATGGCTGGAGCCCTGGGGTTTACTCTGTACTGCTCTGCTCCCTTGCTGAGCAGGGAGCCTGATGCGGGGCTCGATCCCAGGACCCCGGGATGATGACCTGAGCCGAAGGCAGACGCTTAACCACTGAGCCACCCAGGTGCCCCTGACGGCCTACTTTTGAAAACAAAATATATCACACATGAAAATCTGTTCTTTTGGGCATTATCAAGAGGCTCTCGATGACCCGGTCAGTGTGCGGTGTCCGCGTTCTGGCTTCGCACTGTGGTGAGCTGCTGTATCGGGCGTTTACACGCTCCGTGGGACAGCCTGGGGAGGGTCACAGGAGGAGAGGTGGACGAGGAAACCCATTTCCACAACCATCTGCTCTGCACACTGGTCTCAGAGTGGGGGTTGCTCTCGTCGTCTGTGAAGTGGCCGTGGCCCGACGGGAGGCGTGTCTGCGCGCTGCCTGCCCATAACTGCCCCTCTCTCCTGCTAGTGCCCTCTACGCCTTGGGGATGACCGCCGTGGGCCTGGCCATCCTGTGGTACGTGTTCCGTCTGGCTGGAATGACGGGAAGGGAAGGAGGACTCAGTGCTTTTGTAAGTTATGAACATCCCATCTCATTGAACCCACGGTCTAGGGTTTGTGCTCATGCTTGCAGAACATGCTTCATGTAAATCGCAGTGAACGTCCACCTGTCCCAGAGGCCAGCCCGGAGTCGTGGCCTGGGCGGCTCCTCTTTCTTCCTGCTTGGCCCCTATCCCCTGATTCTCCCCCCGACTCATGGGGCAGCTGAGCCAAGCAGGTGTGTAGGCCAGTTTATTCTACAGTTTTTCAGGAGCTGGGCATGACTTATTTTTTGGTTTCTCCTACTAGCTAAGACACTGAAAAATTTTTAAAGGTTGTCTTTATGTTTTTATTTTAATTTTTCTTAAAGATTTTTTTTTTAGGAACCTTCGCACGCAATGGAGGGCTTGAACTCAAGACCCCAAGATCAAGCATCACATGCTCTACCGACTGAGGCAGCCAGGCGCCCCAAACCTTAATACACTTTAAAAGCATTCTCCTGGGGCGCCTGGCTGGCTCAGTCAAAAGAACGTGCAATGCTTGATTTCAGGGTCTTGAGTTCGGGCCCCGAGTTGGATGTAGGGATTACTTTAAAAAAGAAAAAAATTCTCCTGTTGTGGTGACCTTCATTGTAACATGAACTTTCCCTCCCTGGCAGGTTACATATGGCCAGTTAGCCCATCAGCAGAGGAGCTGGGGAGGGGCCCAGGACCTGCTTGGAGCAGGTCTGCAGAGGGTACCTTCTGGTCACCTCCCCGGGAACCAAGACAGATTTCCACTGAGACCAGGAACGTGTTCCTGTCTGTAAAGACTCACACCCTTTTAATGGTGTCTCATTGTGGGGTTATGTTGTATTTTACTCAGCCAGTTTCACCCGTCTTGCATAATTGGGGCTGTTTATTTATTTATTTAAAAAATTTTTTTTAAGATTTTATTATTTGACATAGAGCAAGCACAAGGAGGGGGAGCTGAAGGCTCCCCGCTGAGCAGGGCTCGATCCCAGGACTCTGAGGTCATGACCTGAGCCGAAGGCAGACGTTTCACCAACTGAGCCACCAGGCGCCCCTATAGTCACTTTCTATTTTTTTTAAAAGATTTTATTTGAGAGAGAGACAGAGCATGAGCTGAGGGAGAGGCAGAAGCAGACTCCCCGTCGAACGGGGAGCCTGATGTGGGACCTGATCCTGGGACCCTCCCTGAGATCACGACCTGAGCTGAAGGCAGACGCTTAACCAACTGAGCCACCCTGGCATCCCAGGGGCTGTTTATTTTCCCTGCGGTATTTAGATAGTACTGTGATAAATCTAATGCACATGTGCCTTTGGAGTGCCTGTCTGCCTGGTGTGCCTCCTGAGGCCGAATTTAGCTCAAGTTTGCACCCCTCACCGAGAGCTTTATCTTGCCTGATTGCTCTCCAGAAATTTACCAGCTAACATTTCTTAATGTAACACACCTTCCCAGAGCTGCGTGTTATTACACTACCTTTATAATCAGAGAGTTCCACAATAGTAGGAAAAATCATATGGAAAAATATAGTTTATGTGCAATAGATATTAAATTACCTCGTTTGGGTCGGGGGTGGTTTATGTTTTTTTTTTTTTTAAAGCAAATTGCTAGATGCTAGATTTTCTTACTGTTGTTAGCGATGCACAGTAAACATTTCCCCTTGGATGCCTGGAAGGTGACTTTGGGTCCCATCTGCCTGAATATGTGGAGAGGGTGTGGGAGATGAGAGCCGAGCCGAGGGGAGGTGGGGCCCCTGGGACACGAAGCTCCCTCGTGCCTGCAGGCCCAGCCCAGGGGTGCTAATCTTCCCTGTTGTGCTAGGAGTCACAACACCCTGCCCTTTGTTTTTTCTGCCCAGAATCAGCTTAAAATGGCTCGTTTCACAATTGTGGATGGCAAGATGGGGAAAGGAGTCAGCTTCAAAGATGTAGCAGGAATGCACGAAGCCAAACTGGAAGTCAAAGAGTTTGTGGATTATCTGAAGGTGGGTGCGCGAGCTGAGCAGGAGGCAGACACGTGCACCCTCCTTGAGGGAGGGACTGTCCCAGTCAGGCGTGTGCTGTATCTGCTAAACCAGTGGGGCAGGCTGAGTGCACAGCCCTGAGCCAGTAGTAGGGCTGAGAGCCCGCTGCTGCCCGCACCCTGGGCCGTCTGGGACACCTGGTCACTGCCGGAGCTCTCTGCTTTTCCCAAACCACATGAACCACAACTGATTCGTGACAGTGCAGGAGCTGATCTCCACGTGAGTCCTCTTGGAAATTCTCTCAAACACCTGTGACTAGTGTGCCATGATCCGTTGCTTTTCCAGAGCCCAGAGCGCTTCCTTCAGCTTGGCGCCAAAGTCCCAAAAGGTGCACTGCTGCTCGGGCCCCCCGGCTGTGGGAAGACACTTTTGGCCAAGGCGGTGGCAACAGAGGCCCAGGTGCCGTTCTTGGCAATGGCCGGTCCAGAGTTCGTGGAGGTCATTGGAGGTTGGTATTTTCTGGGGGCCTGTGGACAAGTTTGCCCAACCATCTGTGCAGGACCCTTCCTCAGGTGGCCGGACAGACGGGGACATGGGAGGACAGGGAAGGACACGTGAAACCCGTGTTACTGGCCATGTTTATGGAGGGAACTGGGTAGTGATGTTCTTTTGAAGCTGCTTCCATGTGCGGCCTGGGGTGTCCAGGAGGGTGAGCGTCCACCAGGGTGACTGTGAGACCTCGGCATCCTCACTGGGCAGCTCTGGTCCCTGACACAAGAGTTGGGCTCATCTCCCATTATCTGTCCAACTCCTGGTCCTCTGTGTCACCTCAGGCCTTGGCGCTGCCCGCGTGCGGAGCCTCTTCAAGGAAGCCCGGGCCCGGGCTCCCTGCATCGTCTACATTGACGAGATCGACGCTGTGGGCAAGAAGCGCTCCACCACCATGTCTGGCTTCTCCAACACGGAGGAAGAGCAGACACTCAACCAGCTTCTGGTGGAAATGGACGGTGGGTGCTCCACACCCCCAGTGTGCTCCTGGGCAGGGAAGGGTTTCTTCCTGAGATCCACTTTCTAGATGGACCACGTGGCTGATGTGTGATGCAACCTCGCCCTGATGCTCACTGGCATTTCATTTTCCTGCAGTGACTGGTCTGTGTTTGTCCACCATAGCACCTGCCACGGGTGTGAGTGTGCCGAGCACTCCCCGGCAGGTAGTAACGAGACAAAGCCAGTTGCAGAGGTATCTGTCACATTGCTCCACTCAAGAAACACAGGTTTTAATTGTAAAGAGTCAAGGTAATAGTAGAAAAGACAGGAAAAAAACCTGTGAGCACAAAGGGCAAGGCAGGTCATGACAACGTTCCCAGTCTTGGGTAAACCCAGGGGATCGTGCTGTCTCTGCTGCCCAGTGCAGTAAAGGGACTCGGGGTGCCTGGCTGCCTCCGTCGGGGGAGCATGTGGCTTGTGATCTCAGGGTTGTGAGTAACATGGAATGGTTTTTTTCTTTTTTTAAGATTTTATTTATTTTAGAGAGCTAGAGAGCATGAATGGGGGTGTGGGGGAGTGAGAGAGAATCTCCAACAGACTCCAAGCTGAGGGCGGAGCCTGATGTGGGGCTCGATCTCACGACCCTGAGATCACGACCTGAGCTGAAACCAAGAGTCGGACGCTCAACCGACTGAGCCAGCCAGGTGCCCCTGTTTATTTTTAGTGTGTCTAAACATACATAACATTTACCATTTTAACCACTTATAAGTGTCCGTTTCTGTGATGTCAAGTACGTTTTCATTGTGCAGCCACCACCACTGTCCGTCTCTAGAACCTTCTCTTCCCCGACTGGAACTCTGTCCCCTTTAAAGACTGACTCCCCGGCCCCTGGCAGCCCTGCTGTCTCCACGGGCCTGTCATGGCGAACAGCGTGGGCGCCCCTCAGCCCTGGTGCTGAGGTTTGCATTGGCATAGCTGCAGGCGGCAGGGCAAGGCCTTTCTTCAAACGCTGATGTGCAGTCAGATGCACTGATGCATTTTGTAAGCTCTGCAAGCTCTACAGATGAAAAACCGAAGTATCCTGTCTAACCAGTCTGCAGTAAAGGCTGTGTCGTTAGGCGGTAAGGAGAACAGTGAGCATCTGGAGCTGCCCCGCAGACCCTTACGTCCCATCTCTGACCCTGCTGCCCAGCACCATTTGCTCCAGGACTATTCTCAAGAGCAAGTTTCCAGGGAAGGAAGCTTCCACGGACTCCATGTCCTTGGAAATGTGAGTAGAGTGAGGCCCCGGTTCTGAACGCAGCTGTCGAGAAACCATCACAGAGCGGCCTCCAGGAGGGCCTTCCAGGCCAGATGGCAGGGAGCCCCCAACCCCTCACGCCACTTCTGAGGACAGGCAGTGCGCTGTTGTTGCATGGTTTTGCCGTTACCCTCGGGAGTCTCCGAGGTCCAAGAAACCACACTTAGTGCTTCCTTTGAACAGCTTTCCACAACCCCTTAATGCTGTGCCACCTTTGCTCAGTGTGGCTTTGGTAGTTTTGGGGTCCTGCAGAGATCTGGAAGATCCCCTCGGGTTCTGGTCATGAGGTCTCACGGCTGGGCCTGTGGGTGCCCGAGCCTGAGGTCTGTCTGCCCGCTGAGACCCAGGACTGTGTGTTTGATGAGCCTCTGCTATCAGAAGTACCAGATTTTAATGATGGCGTCTGGTTGTCTCTTTAAAAGGGTGGCTAGCCTCTGCGCTATGGAGGGGAGAAGGGAGAGCAGGCTATCAGAAGTCCTCAGATGACTCACTGACTGTCCGGGCTTCAAGTGTCCTCAAGTTCGTGTCTGTCCTTCGGCTCCTGCAGACGGCAGTCTGAGTGCGAGCATTCAGGCATGCTCCTGGACTGGAGGGATGCCGGGGGGTTCACGATGGCCCCCATTCGTTCCCATCCAAGCTCTGGGTTTTTGACACGGTCAGTGTGTGACCTCACCTGCAGCTCTGTGGCCTTCTGTATGCGACCGTGTGTCATTCCAGGTGATGTGAAGGCCCTCAAGGAGGCTCCCACACGACTCCCTCTCTGAACAGAGAGGCCATGGGAAGTAGCGTCTCTCCTGCTTATGTTGGTTGTTTGCCCTTGAAGACTGAGCCCACCAGGAAGCATTTACTAAATGGCATCTTCCTCTGAGCCAAAGCGCTCTGTGCTGCCATGAATGGGGTGCTTCCGCCCTAGCACTTGCTTCTGCCCCTGACCCCCAGGCCCCCAGACTGAAGGCCCTTGTTGGGCTGGGCCGGCAAAGAACAGGTCCCTTTGTGTGCAGACACAGCCGGGCATTCTCAGCCCTTCAGATGCGTCTGAGGAGTCTCTGTTAGTCCTTGGGGAGGGGCAGTGCCGCTTCATTGAAGTGCGGGGCACGGAGCAGACGCTGTGCCAGTCGTGGGAAAAGCTCACTGGAAAGAGAAACCCCCACTCGTGGGTCTGGACGAGGCTGCACTACAGGACGGCCAGGCCACATGGGATGGGCACCTGTGCAGAGTGCTGGGGTCCCGCCAGGCCACTTAACCAGTGGACAGTCACCTTACTACATCTTTAACAGCACCAAGTGCCCCTTGCAGTGGATACCTTCACCTAAGCCTCTGTGTTAGCAAGAGCCTATGGGGTCATGAGCTCCGGCCTCACACGAAGTCATTAGAAAGTCCTAGCTCCCATCCACGTGGCCTTTTCCATTTTAATCTGTGATCTGTCTTAAGTTACTTTTGTAAATATGGGAGGGTTTGGTCATGGCTCCTTTTTATGCCTGTGGACGTCCAGGTCTCCAGCTTCTTTTGTTGAAAAGGCTGTTGCTTCCTCCACTGAATGGCTTTTGGGCCTCTGCCAGCGCTTGGCTGGGCGTGTCTGAGAGTCTCTGGGCCCCCGGTGTGCCGCGCTGGCCGACGTCTGCCCCTCCACCACAGCACTCGGCCCTCCTCAGGCAGCAGTCTTGGAGGAAGGTGCGCTGGGTCCTTGCGCTTGGTTCCCTCAGCTGAAACTCTTGCGGCGGTTGTGCTTTGCTTTCTCCTATAATTTTTAGAACAAGCTTGTCCACATCTCCCAAAAGATCTTGCTGAGTTTTTGATAGGAACGCACACATCACAGGAGAGCCAGGAGGAAGCATGGTGGCAGCACCAGATGCCGGTGAGGGCGCAGAGAGGCCGGACCCAGGTCCCCGTGTGAAACTCGATGAGCCTAATTTCAATAAAGCAGCCAGGGAGGCGTGAGCAGACACACTGCTGGTGGGAGTGTCCAGTGGGGCAGCCTCTCTGGGAGACAAAACCACACACACCTCCCGTCTGACCCAGCACTAGCACTCCTGCGTGCTTATCCTAGAGAAACATTTACCCAAGACCTTCCCTTACCTGTGGGAGCTGAAGGCTGGAAGCAGCCCGCATGTCCACCAGCGTGTGCGGCTTGTAAACTCGGTGTTTCCTTGTCCGGGAAAGAAACAAACTTCTCACACTGAACTGTCTGGATGGGTCTCGGGATCGTGGCTCCGTGTCGTACAGTGCCATTCACATGAGATCGTCAGAGATGGAGAGTGGACCACTGTTCTCCCACAGTCATTTTCGGTGTCAGTGACTCAGCCTTGGCCTGGGAAGGAGGTCATTTCAGAAGTCTGAGCAGGGAGTCCCAGCAGGTCCCCCGACCAGGGCTCTGGCTCCCTGCCTTGTCCGAGGAGTGAAGCTGCATCTGTCCCAGGGCCCTCCCTCCAGTCAGCCTTCCTGTGTCAGTGACGTCTCTTAAAACCATAGTGCGGGCAAATGCGGCATGGGGTCAGAAGCGTTGCACCTGCTAGGTGGTGCCTGCTTTTGCTTCTGGGTTATTTCAGAAGTCACAGTTATCACGAGCCATAGTCTCCGCTCGACACATGAATGGGACTGGACCCATCATGGTGTCCTGGCTTATGGCATTCCAGCAAGAATGCACACGCACAGGAGTGTTCCAAGGACTTCCTTGGGAGTGGGGTGTGGTTTGGGTGTCCTGGTGGCTGCTTCTTGGTGACTCGGGTGTCAGGTCCTTGGTGAGGAAGTGCCTCCCCACCCCTGGCCCATGCGCTCAGCCAGGCCCCTCACTGCCGTCACAGGGTCCTGGGGTGGGGTTACTGACAGTCTGCCGGGAGGTGCCTCACACACTCTCAGGGCCTAATTCTCGAACACTTCTTTTAAATTTCACCTAACACTTCATAGGTCGTTTTAAATTGTACTTGTCAATGTCAGCTTATTAGGGATTTTTTTCATTAGCAAAAGATAGATCATGGCATTTTTGTTTGTTTAATTAAGTGGGCTCCACGCCCGACATGGGGCTTTGAACTCCAGACGCTGAGATCAAGAGTTGCACACTCCATCGACCCAGCCAGCCAGGTGCCCCTGAAATCTTTATTTTTTAAACTTTGTGTCTGGACCTTGTCATAAGTGCAGAGAGAGATGTGCATTAACCCTCCACGTCTCAGGCCAGCCCCGTTCCACCCACGCCTCCTCCCATCCTCTTCCCGGGTCGGTGATTTTACAGCCAGTCCGAAGTTCTGAAGCTTATGTGCTCTGGAGATATCTGTCTACATTCAGGGAAACACCACCATCTCACTGTAACACGTACTCTGAAAATACATATATGACCCTCTGACTCCCAGTCAGGCCCATCACCCAGCTGCTTTTTGGATGCATTTCTGCAGGTGTTGCTTTTTTCAGATTAGGGTCCAATCTAAGTTGTCATGAAGATCTGAGCCACCAGTGGTACTTTTTGCACTTTTAAATTCCTGTGCGAAACCTGGAGCCTCCAAACCCAGGCCACAGACCAGCATTCAGAAACGTCCACTTGGGCCCATGGCTTTGCACCGAAGGAGCGTGGACATGGTGCCCCTCGCTCCCCGGGTCTGCTGGGCAGTTAGGAGAAATGTGATCCCCCCAGGATGCTGTCTGGATGGCAGTGCGGGCCCCCCCCCAAGAACCATCTGTGGTTCTGCATCGGGGCTGGCAGCCTGGGGAAGACCCGCGAATCCTTGCTCTCATCGGGAGCGTGATCCTGGGTCAGTCCACACCTCATTCAGAGCGCCGTGTGTGTTCCTGTCTCATGGACCCCAGTGGGAAATCAGTCCCACCCTGTGTCCTGAGAGGTGAGCTCTACCTGAACAGCTGTCTTCCCCTCCAGGAATGGGCACCACCGACCATGTCATCGTCCTGGCATCTACCAACCGAGCTGACATCTTGGACAACGCTTTGCTGAGACCGGGCCGACTGGATCGACACGTCTTCATTGACCTTCCCACACTGCAGGTCAGTGCGGCCGGGGGCTGGCCGTCGTCTGTCCGACTGTCTTTGGCTTACCGCTCTGCCTGTGGCTTTGCAGCTTGTTTCATTCACCCATAGTTTTTCTCTTTATCCGTAAACACTGGGGCTGAGTTTTGTGAGAATCTTGGGAGAGCCTCAGAATTCTCGTCCTGACCCCCTCAAGCCCGTAGGTCTCTTGAGCCCCATCAGCATCCTCGGTGCCCCAAGGCAGCAGGAACCAGCAAGCAGTGATGGGTGGGGAAAGGGCTCAGAGCGTCTGCGTGATGGTTCGTGTTCCCGTGCCCCAGCCAGCAGTCCTCCTGGGTCTGACACTCAGACCATTACTGCTCTCTCAGAAGCAGAGCGGGACTCTCCTCTGATACTGCACTCCAGAGCAGCTTTCCACTGTTCTGACTCGGGGGTCTAGGAAATTGAGAATGTATATGAACCAGATGTTCTACAAAATAAGCCTTATGTGCATGATGCGCTTCATTGTTTCCTTCTTCAATCTTCCATTTTTGAAATGCTGCTGTAGGTCGGGAGAGACAACAAAGAAAGGGATCTAACAGCCCATGGTTCCTGTCTGCAGGGCAGGAGTGAGCCCACACTTGGGTCCTTTCTCTGCAGGAAAGGCGGGAGATTTTTGAGCAGCACCTGAAGAGCCTGAAGCTGACCCAGGCCAGCAGCTTTTACTCACAGCGTCTGGCAGAGCTCACGCCGGGGTTCAGCGGTATGGAAGCTGGTTCCTGCTAGTCCTGAGAGTGCAGGCCACCGCCCGGTGCCCTACACCCCCTGCTCTGGGCCCCACGGTCAGCACAGCCTGGGGGGGAGTAAGGTCATGCACAGAGAGCCCGTAGAGGAGAAAAGAGCCATGCTGCACTTTGCTTTTCCTGCATGAGTGGCGCCAGACCCGACAGTGGTTCTGTTGCGGCATGCGGGGCACACTGTGCCTGTGCCCCCATGGGCTCTCCGGGCACTTCTGCCCACAGGACTCTGCACGCTGGCCCTTCAGTGCCTTCCCACGCTCAGGCTGTGTACCACTGCTCCCTGCCAGGCAGTGCCATCCAAGGCCTCATGGCTGTCCGAGCGTGCCACAGCCCTCCTCACAGTTTGTTCTCATTGAGCAGAGACAGATCACAAATCAAGATACTTTCTGTATGGCTCTCATTTTAAATAGTTTTTGTTTTTTTTTTAGAGATTTTATTTATTCATTTGAGACACAGAGAGAGAGAGAGAAAGCATGAGCAGGGAGAGAGGCAGAGGGAGAGGGAGAAGCAGGCTCCCTGCTGAGCCAGGAGCCCGATGTGGGGCTCAATCCCAGTACCCTGGGATCATGACCTGAGCTGAAGGCAGACGCTTAACCATCTGAGTCACCCAGGTGCCCCTGTATGGCTCTCGTTTTAAAGGGTAATATAAACAAAATCCCTTTTATAATAATTTTTTCCTTTTGGATTTTTCTTTAATGCCCTTAACTAGCATTGCATGGGTACTGGAGTGTGAATTCCCAGGGAGAATGAGACCGCTGAGCATGCTGATGGGACTTGAGCAGGAAAGAGCTTGGAGGTGGCAGGAGGTGGGACCGTACAAGGCTGTGCTCCGGGTCTGTTAGTGGTGTGAGTGGCTTCAGCATAGGACAGAAGTGCCTCCTGGGTGCTCTCAGCCTCCTGCCCACGCTCCCCTCCCCTGCCCTCCTCTCTCACCCCTACTGTGCGGACAGGTGCTGACATCGCCAACATCTGTAACGAGGCCGCGCTGCACGCTGCACGGGAAGGGCACACGTCCGTCCACACGTTTAACTTCGAGTACGCTGTGGAACGGGTCATTGCTGGTACGAAGGGCATGTTCTCAGCGGGGCTGGATCCCTGAAAGCACCCAGACAGAGGGGGGTGGAGGGAGCCAGGTCAGGCTGACACGTGACAGAAGTGATCAGCGAAGAATTACTGGACAAGAGAACTCTAAGGGAAGTGTTTCTATTTTTATCAGTCAGGTTGTTCCATGTGTCTGACTTCTCCTTAGTTTAAAATACCAGGGGTATGCTGAAGAGCAGACATACCCTTCAGGTAGAAACAAGGATCTTGCACACCCAAGTGTGAGTGGCGCTTAGCCCCTCAGCTGTCAGTTGTGCCTCGGAGCAGACCACACAGGGCCCCATCCATGTTGTGGGGTCACGGCCGCCACTGTCTGGGGACAGAGGGTCTCCCGAGAGCTGTGCTCTGCTGCCTGGCCCGTCTCTGCTCTGGGTAGCGACAGGAGGGGTCTTGGCAGCGGGGCAGGGAGGGGGGCCTTCCAGCAGAGCTCAATGGTGGCTACTCAAAGTGGGGTCCCTGGGTTTCTGTCAGGAGAGTGGGATTGAAACTGAGAGTCTCCAGAAGTTTCCACGGCCCCACGTGTCTTGTCCTTGAGCAGGGTTCAGTCCAAGACACTGAAGAGTTTTTTAAAGAGGGAAACTGTTCGTTCCCATGGAAGTGTGAGAAGCACCGGCCTTGCATGTGGGTGGGGAGCGTCTCTGCAAGGGGCTCATCCCCGTCACTCTCGGCTGAGCTAAAGTCTGGTACAGATGCCACCAGGTGTCCAGGCTGCAGCTTAGGAGTCTGTGTGGACAGAAGGAACAAAAGTGGCTGTTTTGTACCACAAATTTGGCTTCATATAAGCCACTCGGTTTACGTGGAAATTGATAAACTCCACTCTGGAAATTGATAAACTCCAACTCCGGAAATTGATAAACTGATAGTGTCAAAGCAAGAAAGACGAAGTGCTGCCCACGCTGGTGCGGCCTGCCTGAGCTAGAGCACTCGGGTTCAAGTACAGCCCATCCCACAGGCTGTGGCCTCCAGTCCAGATGCTCAGAACCAGCCTTGCAGTAGACAGAGGTGGATGACCCTCGGAGCACACAGCCAGACCCAGAGCTGATCCAGGCTGTGTAAAACAGGAACGCAGGAAGGTGTGGGGAACCTGGGTTGCGGAGAGAAGCCTCCCCAGTAGCTCAGACGAGGTAGATGGACTAGAATCTCAAGGTGGGAAGCGGTCAGCTAGCAAGGGCCTGCAGCTTCCAGCAAGTCCGGGGGAAGAGCCTCTGCGAAGCCTGGACGTGGGTGGGGACCCCATCTAATCACAGCAGCCCTGTGGGCCCCTGAGGGTGGGCACTCGTAAAGCCTGCAGTAGCTGGTCTGTTCTCCCCGGCATTCACAGAAGTAGAAACAAACAGGGACCGTCCAGCATCTCTCCCTTCACAAGGAACAGTTCGGGGTGCTGGCTCGGGGCAGAGGCACAGGAGGTGAATGTCAGGCACCATACTGCTTTGATGGCACGGGGTGCAGCTCTGTGAGGCCAAGGGAGTGCCCGGCCCGCTTACGTAGGATCACCTGTGTGCCCAAACTCAAATCCTTGTGTATCCTTTCAGGGACTGCCAAAAAGAGCAAGATCCTATCAAAGGAAGAACAAAAGGTGGTTGCGTTTCATGAGTCAGGCCATGCCCTGGTTGGCTGGTTGCTGGAGCATACCGAGGCCGTCATGAAGGTACGGTGTCCGCATCGGGTGGGTATGGGGTCTCGGCGGCTGTAAGCCCAACTCACCCTTGAACAAAGCTGACTTTGGAAGCACCGTGTGTTTTTACTTGAAGAGAAAGCGTGGTGTGAGCTGGACATGGGCGCAGGGCAGGAGGTGATGGTGTGGGATCCCCTCATCCTCAGAAGCAAAAAGCAGGAGGTCTTATCTTAAGTGGGCTCTGGTTTTCGGGTGTGACCATCGCAGTCACATGATGACTTGGGGTCTCCTTCTGCCATCTACACAGTTACTCTTGGAATTAAGAATTGCTGTGTTTACTAAAAGTGTTGATGTGGTGACCCCTAACCTTAAAAATAAGTGAGTTTGGTTCACATTAAAAAAATACCACTTTTGGAGGCATTTGTGACTTGATGAAAATTTATTAGGATCTGCTGCTAACATCAGAACAACTCCTCCAGAATGTGGGTGCAGATTTCACGATGCCTTCCACGTAGACCTGACGCACGGCCTGGAGAAGAGCTGCGCAGGTGCTCTGGTCCCACGGTGCAAGGAGGGGGCTGCAGCACTGCTCATCCCTGACACCAGCAGTGGGACGTGGCAGTCGCCAGCCTAGCACGTTGGCGTTTACGCCCTCCTTTTCAGAAGGGTTTGTTACAGCCATGTAGACAGCCTGCCGGTGTCTGACGATGCCCTGTTGATCAGGCCAGCTCCTCTGACACTCAGCGGCGGGCAGGGAGTTCAGTGTCTGGTGACAGACGGGGGGATGCTGCCATCACTGATGATCTGGGTCAGGCCGAGGGTGAGGAAGGCAGGGTTCAGGGTAGATACTTTAATGCAGTATCTCAAAAACTAAAATAAAAATTAATGCAGAAAAATCCCTAATGAAGTAAATATCATAATTTAAAACTTGCTGTTCTTAGAATTTTCACTGCATGTAATGTCTAAAAGATACATCTTTCGTAATGAGACCATCCCTGCCCCCGGCCCTGAGGCTGACTACTCAGGGAAGGTGGTGAAGTCCCAGCTACTGATATGGTCATTCTTTACAGCCGTTTACGTTGTAATTTACTTCAGTGTTGGATTTAAGTTTCCTCTTCAGATTTTCCAGGCACTAGAAGCCGGTCATCCTGCTGCCCGGGGCCCCAGTGGTTGCTCGTGCGGCAGGTCCTGCTTTGCTGCACCCCCCCCCCCCCCCCCGTGTGTGCACCTGCCGTTGGGCTGCCGGGGAGGCAGAGCGGCAAGGATAGTCTCCACTGTCCTTAGTGTCCCCAAGCCGGTGAATCCGAGGGTTTGTGTGGTGCCCGTCTGTGCCGTTGTGCTTTACTTCATGTACCCATCGGGGTGCCCAACTGTGTGTGAGCTGTCCTTTAGCGACAGAGTTCTCCTTTGCTATAAAAATGGGGCCAGTACAGATTTGCTTTAACTGCTTTGAAAGCCTCCCATTAAAGATCCGTCGTACCTTTCCCCCGCTTCATCTTTAAAGTGCAAATCCTGCCCACTCACTCGGGCTGCGTGACACTCTGCAGGTCTCCATTGCGCCACGGACAAATGCAGCGCTGGGCTTTGCTCAGATACTTCCGAGAGACCAGCACCTCTTCACCAAGGAGCAGCTGTTTGAGCGCATGTGCATGGCCTTGGGTGGCCGCGTGTCCGAGAACATCTCCTTTAACAAAGTCACTTCTGGTGAGAAGCGAGCCCGTGCGGGTCCTGGAGTTCTCGAAGTGCTTTCACACCGTCTCCCGCGTGGGGGCGGGAGGGCGAATCTGAGGGAGGAATTTGAATAGTGGGACAGTTTCAGTCAGCGCTCTCAGGCTGTTACTTCACTGGGCTGTCCAGAGAGGAAGTCGAGATGTTCCTCACTTGTTCCCAGTGACACCGGGGTTCAGTGTTGACAGCTGTGCTGGTGCAGAGCAGGACATGGGCTGGAGGGTGCCAGGGGAGCGAACCCACGTGTGCGTACCAGGTAGTACCTCAGAGTTAAGACAGGATACACTTGTCTCCTGGGTCCTTTGCCTGTGCCAGGCCGGGGGGGGGCGGGGCAGCATGCCCTGACTTGGCCCTTCCAGGAAAGAAACCTCTTTCTTAACCCCCACCCTCCAGGGGCTCAGGACGACCTGAGGAAGGTCACACGCATCGCCTATTCCATGGTGAAGCAGTTTGGGATGGCGCCAAGCATCGGGCCCGTCTCCTTTCCCGAGGCGCAGGAGGGCCTCACAGGCATTGGACGGCGCCCCTTCAGCCAGGGCCTGCAGCAGATGATGGACCACGTGAGTCTGCACAGCTTGCTCAGCATGGGTTGCGTCCATACTGTGATGGGATTAGGGCACAGGTCTCTCTTGGGTACTGGCGCCGTGCCCTCTGCCACACCGAGTGGAGTGCGCTGTTGTGGTGGTCTCATCGAAGGCATTCCAATCCTGACACTCACTGAGTGTCTGTTCTTGGGTGAGGACTTGTGTGGCTTTTGGTGAAATTGTCCGTGATGTGAGACTAGGAAGGAAATAGAAGAGACCCCAATGATACCGTGGTGCCCTGTGGTCGCTGCACCTGCAGGACACGCTGCGTGCTCCACGGGAGACCGGGCCAGGGCAGGCGCATGCGTGAGGGGGCCTTGGGTCCAGAGGACAGAGCTGAGGGGCATTCCCTGGGCACGGGGTAGGGGCAGCCAAGCTCTCCTGGCCATGATGAGAGAAAAGCTGCGTTCCTGTCCCTGTGGCTCCTTTGTGAACTCTGGCACCAGGATCCGGCTACACAGGACGTGGTGAGTGTGGTTGGCCACCCTGCGCACGACCCAGCTGCTGTCTTTCATTGGCAGGAAGCGAAGCTGCTGGTGGCAAAGGCCTACAGGCACACGGAGAAGGTGCTGCAGGAAAACCTGGACAAGCTGCAGGCGGTGAGGTTCTGGGCGCCGGGCCTGTCCCTGCAGAGTCATCACTACACGCTCCTCATGGGAGTCCTCACGGGAGTCCTCCCGGCACACAGAGCCACAGAGAACGTATCCCCTGTGTGCTCCACCCAGCTCAGCTGAAATCTCCCATTTCTCCTACCTCCTCCTCAGCTTCTTACTGTGAACATATCAAGCCAGTCCCTTGAAGCAGGCAGAAGAACATAATACTAAGAATGTCAAGTTCCAGTGGTTATCAGTGTGTGGTCGGCCTCACTTACTCTTTCCCAGCTCTTAAGTTTTTCCTACAATTTTTATTTTTTAAGTAATCTCTATGCCAAACGTGGGGCTTGAACTCTCAACCCCGACATCAAGAGTTGCAGGTTCAGGGGCGCCTGGGTGGCTCCGTCGGTTACACGTCTGACTTGATTTCGGTTCAGGTCATGATCTCATGCATGTTGTGTCCTCAGGGGGTTGCTCCCAGACAAGGAGCACCTGCCTCCCCAGGGGTGTGTGTGAGCAGTGCAGGGACTGAGCCAGAATCGGCTGTTAATAAGGCCCGAGTGCCGCACGTGTGCAGGACTCAGGCTCCCTGTGCAGGGGCCCAGGATGTCCCGCCTCTGCCCCATTGGTGGGTTACAGGGCTGAGCAACATACCAAACCAGGTCTGTGGATAAAGCGGCCGCACCCGTCAGGGGTGCTCGGGACTGCGTTCCTTGTGTCCGAGACTGAGCTGTCAGGATGGGCTGCAGGTGCAGCGCGCGCACACAGTTCATTCAGCATGTTCTCCACGACCACATCTAGAGAGGCCGAGGCTCCCTTCCCACACCAGCACCCCTCTTCCCACAGTCCAGCCTCCCCTTGCTCCCCCACATGCAGACACACACACCTTATTTGGTAAAGGAAGTTGAAGTTGCCCCCGAAAACAGACTTGGAAGGGAAGCAGAAAAATTAATGAGGCTCGCAGCTGGGAGACCATCTCCAAGGTCGAGACAGGGAGGGATTCTTTACTTGAGCTGGCTGCTTACGCTGCTTCCCTGGGAAAGTGGCCTGCCCGGGGCATCCTGCTCCCAGACACCCCCTCTCTCCTGGGTGCTCTGCTCTCAAAAGGCCCTTGTGTGTCCTTGTCTGGGGCTCACACACTGCCCTGTTTGTTCCCTCAGCTGGCGAATGCCCTGTTGGAGAAGGAAGTGATACACTACGAGGATATCGAAGCCCTCATCGGTCCGCCACCTCACGGGCCCAAGAAGATGATCGCTCCTCAGAGGTGGAGTGACGCGGAGAGGGAGAAGCAAGACGTGGGGGAGGAGGAGGCACCTCAGCAGCCCCCACTTCAAGGGGAGGAGCCGTCTTAGCCCAAGTAGTTAGTCCTCCTTGATTGTGCCTCGGATGTGGCGTTCCTGCTGGACGCGGGAAAGGAACGCCTTACTCAGACCCACTGAGATTTGTACCTCCTCGCAGCCCTCACTGGTCTCTGAAAGGCTTCTGAGATCTCTTTACTGACTTCCCTCCCTGTGAGTAGTAAATGTCCCTGCAGACGATTTAGCTGTTTGTAGATCATTTTCCCCGTGGGGAGGGTTATCCGTGCTGGGTCCAGGTGCGCATGTGGACCTCAAGCTCCCAGGTTGGTGACGCTGTCGTTTTGTGGGTGCTGGGTAGATCCAGGGGCAGTGCAGCATCCGGGCCCCGAGGAGCTTGTTCCTTCCTGCCTGGGGCGTGTGCAGGGGCTGTGTCTTCAGTTCCTCTGACTTCGTTGGAGTGCTGACAGCATCTGCGGCGAAAGGCCCCCCTGAGCTGCCTGCTGCCGTCCTCCCTCGCTGGGCCCTGTCCCTGTGCTCACGCACCCACGGGGTCAGCGCCGAGGACAGCACTGGGCTCTAGAGCATGAAAACACTGCCACCTGCTGCCGTATGGATGCGAGCATGACATCCTCCCTTCACGGGTCTGGCCTCCGCGTGCTGGTGGGGAGGGGACAGACATCCTGAGACCTGCTGCGGTACTTTCTAGTCAATTATGTGCGTGGAAAGTCCGTCTTTACACCACACGACCAGCTGTAACCCGACAAAGGGTCATGTGTTTCGGTTTGTGATTTCAGCCACATGATAACCGGTTGAAGAGCCCCTTTTGTAGGAATCTGGGGTAAAGGCCCTAGGATACCCCCTCACTACAGCAAGTGGGGTGCACTTGGCTCCTTGTCCCCAGGGGTGTGCAGCACGCACTCAGGTGCTTGCACCTGCTGCTCTCATAGCTTCTGCCTTCCCTGCAGTGGCACTTCCTGACAGAACGGGGTGTTCTGCTGCCCGTCCCACAGTCAATGGCAGCATGTGGGCAGGTACAGGTCACACCTGAGGGAGGGCAGCTCCGACAGGGCACTCGTGCATTGACCCTAGTTCGCCAAATTTGTTTCCAAAGATGGGGATGTGTTTAGAAGGGCTCTGGTCTCTGTGCCCAGGCCGGCACCCTCGGTACCCTAACAGTGGATGTGGTCAAGCTCATCCCCCCTGTACTTGACCATTAAAGTGGCCTTTGCTGTGTGCCAGAAGATACTTAGTAATTGAATGTAAATGGCATGGAAAGTGGCCCCCTCACCCCAGTGGAGACCAGTGCAGCCTGTGTCCCTAGCACTGACAGGTGTGAGCAGGCTCACAGCCATGCCGGGAGGGAATCTCTCTGTGCTGACTGGTAGAAGCCAGGTGTTTGCAAACTTTGGTCCTCCAACTGGTCCTAAGTGATGTCACCTCCAGGTCATCAGATACCTGGTACTCAAGAAGAGTGCCAGAAGTTCTACCTCCCCCGCTACCTCCTCATGGACTGAGCCTGCCTCTCACCTCCCATAAGGAGCCTTCTCCAACTGCACGTGGGTCCCTGAGCAGCCAGACCACACTGGGCAGCCTGTGTGCTCAACACTGGAGCTGCAGCCCTGACCCTCTGCCCTCCCCCCAGCACAGCTGGTATAACACGGCCTGACTGTAGCTTCTGGAACACACTGAGAAAGACACGTTTTTGTTTGTTAGTAATCTCTACACCCCAACGTGGGGCTCAAACTCACGACCTGGAGATCAAAAGTCACATTCTCTTCTGACTGAGCCAGCCAGGCACCCCGAGAAAGACAAACGACCTGGAGATCAAAAGTCACATGCTCTTCTGACTGAGCCAGCCCGGCGCCCCGAGAAAGACAAATGCTTTTTAAGTAAACATGTATATTTAACGCAATCATCCTCAGAAGACAGGAAAGTACTAAGAGAAATTAACATATGTTCTTAAATAATATAAACCGTTCTCCACTGTAATGTATACTCATCAACAAACGCTTATGATTGTTTTGTTATGCTCATTCAAAGCTTATTTTTTGTTTTGGTATAAATGATACACATATTCGTTTCAGGTGCACGATAAAACGATGCAATGTTCATGTGTATTGCAGAATGATCACAATGAGCCTAGTTAACATCTGTCATCATGCAGGTATTTTCTACGGTGAGAACTTCTAAGATCGTACTCTAAGCAACTTTTAAATAAAACATTTATGATTATAATTCTAATGTTCTCCCTGTCGCCTTTCACTGACCTCAAGCGTTCCTGCAGGTTAGGGGACTGAGTTAGCCCACAGCTGATCTTTGTGTAGGCCACGATTCTGGACGGCTGTGATGCTGGAGACGCAGGGGTTCTGTGATTAAGCAGCAAACATCATCCTGTCCTAGCTGTTATTGGGGTACGGCTTTTCCTAACTCAACGTATTTATACGCCACATTTATACGACACAGCATGCTAACTTTTGCATAGTGTTTTGGGATATATCTTTTAGCCCCCCAAAACACGGTAAAATCACTTTGCTGCTATGATATTAATTTAAGAACTCAAGGTGTATGTCTGAGAGGGCTCCACACACTACTACTGACTGTTTAAGTGGGATTTCTTTGAAGCCAACACCCACAGCACCAGCGGCAGGACACCAGTCAGGTAGGTACAGGTACTGAATGAGCAGGCTCTGCTGTGAGGAACGGGCTCAGTCTTGCAAGGAAATTCTGGGAAACTGTCCCAAGCTCCTCCCACACCTTCAGGGGTGTCCACCCAGGAATCGCTGGCCACCTTGAGTGCAGTTCCCAGGGGCATTAGCGAGCTCTTTCAGTGGCCCTTGCAGGCCAAAGTTGGGGACAAAAGCCTGGAGCAGAGCCGTGGCTGTGGAAATCTGTGCCTAGGACAGGGCCCGTCCCTATAGCTACTGATTTCTAAAATGCTTGAGCCAGCCAAGTCTTTCTATCAGAAGGACTCCTGCTTAATAGTTGACAAAGTTCACTCTTCTTTCCCAACGAGAAAGCCGAGCCCGTCCCCAGCAGGATTTCACATCAGAACCAGTTTCACCTCACTATTCTGCACACTTTCCAAAGGAAGGGAGTGTGTGGAGTATTCAAGCATGGGGTACTGAAATCTGCATCTGGCATGGTGTGTGTGCTGGAGACCAAGATTTTTGAATTACAACTTCATTTTCTTACTGCTAACTTGATTCTGAGCAGTGTTTCTATTTTCAGACCTCTGTCCCCCAACCAGTGACCCATGGCCACATCTTAACTATGAGCAGCTGGAGCTCAGGTGGAGATGTGGGTCAGGGCAGATGGAACTGCATGAGTCCGGGAGTCTGTCCAGAAAGAGAAATTTGGGGTAGGGATAGGAATGTGTTTGAGATTAGTAAGAGCAATGATCCACTGAAAGGGGTCTGAGAAAGAAATGGGAGGTGCAGGCTACCATTTGATAGACTGTATTCAAAGAAATATGGCATGGGCCAAGGCAGGTGTTTATTCAACAAGTGTTTTCTCCAGCATCACTCTGCTGCAGTTATGCTGCCACAATAGAGTGTGGGTTCAAGCTCCAGTGCCACTCGAAAAAAGTGAAATGAGATGGGGGAGAGTCCCTCTCAAGGTTTCTGTGAGGACTGAATGAGGGACCACCCGCTCTCTTCCATGCTCCTCTCCTGCACCGCCTTTGCCACAGCGGCTCCTAGCACATCACACGGAAGCAGAGCTGTGTGTGGTTATCTTGTGCTGGGCGCTGTGCTCTGTTCTGTGGCCTGAACACAGCCAGTCATCCCACTTCACAGAAGGGAAAAGTTAAATAACGTGCCTAACGCCTCGAAACTAGTACAAACGTAGAACCCAAGCCAACTCCACAGCCACTTTCTTAGTGACTGGTCACTGACCCTCCAGTTTAGCCCATCTGCGCTCGTGAAAGTGGCAGAGACCAAAGAGATTTTAAACTTCACCTTCACTTCACGGACACATGCTGCTTCCAAGTTTGTGAGAGATGCTTTCGCTAACAGCATCGCATTTGCTAACAACTGTCGCTGGGGCACCTGGGTGGCTCAGTCGTTAAGCGTCTGCCTTCGGCTCAGGACATGATCCCAGGGTCCTGGGATCGAGCCCCACATCGGGCTCCCTGTTCCGAGGGAAGCCTGCTTCTCCCTCTCCCACTCCCCCTGCTTGTGTTCCCTCTCTTGCTGTGTCTCTGTCAAATAAATAAATAAAATCTTAAAAAAAAAAAAAAAACAACTGTCGCTAAAGCAGGCCTGATCTAGTCCTTGTTTCCTCACTGAGCAGATATTTATCAAAAGCAGGGCCAGGGGGGCACCTGGGTGGCTCAGTTGGTTAAGCGACTGCCTTTGGCTCAGGTCATGATCCTGGAGTCCCCGGGATCGAGTCCCACATCGGGCTCCCTGCTCAGCGGGGAGTCTGCTTCTCCCTCTGACCCTCCCCCCTCTCATGTTCTATTTCATTCTCTCTCTCAAATAAATAAATAAATAAATCTTAAAAAAAAAAAAAAAAAAAAGCAGGGCCAGGGTTGGAACTTCGAATGTAGGCTCAGTGCGTTTGAACAGACTGCAAGGGCCCCATAGATTACACACGTTCCGTGTCCCTGGCCAAACCCTGTGATCCCTCAGTGCATCTCAACCCAATCTAACACCCAAGGATGTCTCAACAGGGCAAAAGTCTTTATCAGCAGCCTATTTACTCAGGGACGCACACAAGCCTCCAAATGTCTCGTTTGGTGTCATGAAATTCTTCGAATGTTCAGTTTCATTAGAAAGAAGCCCGGTGCTTGGGGCGAGCGTGGGAAAGAAGGGTTCCTGGGATGTAAAGGCGGTTTCCTAGACTCGCCCTGGAGAAGAGGAGACGCGCGGGGCACAGGCCATGGAGGTCTATCTGGCAACTTGGCATCTTTTTATGATGCTCGTCTCGTGCAGGCGGCAGTGGGCAGCCGACCCCGCATTCTTAGCCCCAGCCGCCCGACGTCGGGGAAGGTCGCTGACTCCTCCGCCAAGGAGAGGCGGTTGTGCGGTGCTGCGTGAAAACGCATGTGAAGTACTTATGCCCCCCCGAGAGAAAAAGCTCAGCAAGTGTCAGTTCTGTGTAAAGAAAGAAGCCCAAGGGGCGCCTGGGTGGTTCCGGCGGTTAAGCGTCTGCCTTCGCCTCAGGCCCTGATTTCAGGGTCCTCGGATCGAGCCCCGGTCCCGGCTCCCGGCTTAGCGGGGAGTCTGCCTCTCCCTCTCCCCCTGCCTGTCCCTGCTAGTGCTCTCGCGCGCGCGCTCTCTCTCTTCAAATAATTTTCTTTCTTTCTTTTTTTTTTTTTTAAAGCGAGAAGTACAAATGTTCGAAAAAGGCGGAAAGCACAAAGACCGGAACGCGGACGCGACGTTTTAGGGCTGGGGCACGTACCGAGTCCCGTGACGCGCGGACGCAGGAAACATGGCACTTAAAGCGCCGCTCTCTCCTCTGGCCTGGCCGTTCCTCTTTCAGAGCCGCGGAGTCCCTCAGCGGCCCGCCTTGGAGCCAGTACGGCTCCGCTTCCAGAGCGCGGCGCGCGGGACGCGCCATGCTCGCCCCGAGCCGGGAGGGCGTTCACGTCACTTCCGCGACCCCCGGCTCTGATTGGGCAGAGAGCTTCGGCGCTTTTGATTAGCTGAGCCCAGTACCATCCCAGGGTGCCTTGCGGCGCCGGGTCTTTTCCGCTGGCCATTCTCCCTGGCAGGAGGTGAGTGTGCTGCCTCCGCGGGCCATTGGCGGCATCGGGCCGCATCCGCTGCCATCCACTGCCATCGGCGTAGGGCTGCTCCGGGCGCGGCCGCAGAGGGGCTCCGGGACCGCGCCGCAGACGGGAGAGGGCCGTGGCCCGGGCCCTGACTCGCTCCCCGCGCCCGCAGGCCCGTAGGCAGCAGCCATGGCGCCCAGCCGGAATGGCATGATCCTGAAGCCCCACTTCCACAAGGACTGGCAGCGGCGCGTGGCCACGTGGTTCAACCAGCCGGCGCGGAAGATCCGCAGGTGAGCCGCGGTGCGGGGCGTCTGGGGCGGGGGCGCCCGCGGGGCGGCGCGTCTGGGGCGGGGGTGAGCTAGCCGACCGCTCTGTGTGCGCAGACGCAAGGCCCGGCAGGCCAAGGCCCGCCGCATCGCCCCGCGCCCGGCGTCCGGGCCCATCCGGCCCATCGTGCGCTGCCCCACGGTGAGGTACCACACCAAAGTGCGAGCCGGCAGGGGCTTCAGCCTGGAGGAGCTCCGGGTGAGTGAGGGCGCAGGCGCGCGGGGGGCTCGGGGGGCTCGCAGTCCATGATGACAGTCTCCGGAATCGCTGTACTCCGTGATGAAAGTACGCTCGAACCCTTTTCCATCTGACGGCTGAGCGCCCGGCGGCCGCGCGGCGCCGCGGGGACCCCGGGTGCTTCATCCGCGTCTGTGTCGGGGCAGGTGGCCGGCATCCACAAGAAGGTGGCCCGGACCATCGGGATCTCGGTGGACCCGAGACGGCGGAACAAGTCCACGGAGTCCCTGCAGGCCAACGTGCAGCGGCTGAAGGAGTACCGCTCCAAGCTCATCCTCTTCCCCAGGAAGCCGTCGGCGCCCAAGAAGGGCGACAGCTCTGTGAGTGCCCCCGGGTGCTGGCGGGCCTGCCCCCCCCCCCCCGCCCCGACAGGGCGCACGGGAAGGAGAAGGAGGCCCCCACAGTTCACGCCGGGAAGCATCGTCCTTTCTATGTCCTAGTAATGTCCGGCAAAGGCTGTTCGGCTGCAAGCTAGGTTTCTAGATTTTTAATTTGAAAGTGTTCTGTCTTCTAAAATGCGCTGGCTTCCTAGGAGTTGGCGTGCTGCTGGCCTCACAGGCCGGCAGCCTGCATGGGGGTTCACACGTGGTGGGTCTGGCCTGTGCTTCTGCGGTCAGCTGATGGCACAGGGACCCAGGCCCACCACCTGTGCGCAGCAGTAGGCGGGGACATCTGGCAAGAAGGGGGGCTGTAAGCTTGCAGCCCTTGGGTGTGTGATCTGAGCCCAGGTGACTTCCTTCTTCAAACAGGCGGAAGAACTCAAGTTGGCTACCCAGCTGACGGGACCAGTCATGCCCATTCGGAATGTAAGTGGGGGTGTCTGGAGGACCAACCAATGAATGCTTTGGGGTGGGGCTTGGGTTGAAGGGTGGCAGCCGAGGTTTCTCTCAAGTTTTATAGGTTTGCAAAAAAGAACTCTTGACTCGGGGAGGAACATTATCCTGCATTCTTAGCAGATGGGCTCCTTGAGGAGGGAGGGCCTTGCCCTCATCTTTGGGGACTCGCTTGTCACAGACACTTCCCACTATTTGGAAAGGCCAGGTCACTCCCTGGACACGTTGGTGATCCCACAAACGACTGGGCCCTTGAGGGTCGTCTGGCAGGAGAGGTGGGCCCAGGACTGCACACATCTGAGGTGGTTGCTTCTGTGTGTTTGGGGTGACGTTCCAGGTCATGTCATTCTAGTCTTTCCTTAGCGGCCTCAGTGTGGCCTTGCAGCAGTGGGTGGGCAGACCTAGCCTGCTACCTCCTCCTGCAAGGTTTCTGCTGACATTAGATCCTAGGCAAGGGTTTGACGCACCCTGTGCCCCGGTCCAGGTCTACAAGAAGGAGAAAGCCAGAGTCCTCACAGAGGAGGAGAAGAGCTTCAAGGCCTTCGCCAGTCTTCGCATGGCCCGTGCCAATGCCCGGCTGTTTGGCATCCGGGCCAAAAGGGCCAAGGAAGCTGCAGAACAGGACGTTGAAAAGAAAAAATAAAGTGCAATTAACAACTCAGTGGTACCTGTGGTGTCCATGTGATCGTGGTCTCCTCGGGTTGGGGGCAAGAACTTGGGGACCTGCGACCTGGCCGGAGGGACGGCATATTTGCAAGGCAGCATTTTACTGTCTATGTTTTAGGACTGTTGACTGAATAACTCGAGTACCTCTCTGGTGGAGGTGTTGCAGAGAGTAATTGTTACCAGGGTAGTTTGCAGTTCCCTGAGCATTTTGGGATTTGGGGCCAGATCTTCCTGGGCCTGTCTGCACTTGTGCATGCAGGCTCTGGTGTGGATGGCTGGGGTTGGGCTGCCCAGAACCCGTTTTCAGGCTACTGTGCCTGTGTGGCAGCTAGACAGCCAGGGCAGCCTGAGTGCCCATGCCAGAAGAAGGCTGGAGGCTGGACCTCGTGTGGCAGTGAGGCACCCGCGTTCCTTTGAAACCACCGTGTGGTTTCTGCAAGTGAGATGTTGAGGTGGGGCCCCAGCAGGGCCTGCTGTGAGGATCTGTTTTGGGGGCTGTAAGGTGTGGATGTCCCAGCTCTGCTGGTGTAGGTCTTCACTATCCGTGAATGCCAACAGCTAAGCCGCTGGTGTCCTGCACTGGTTCCTGTTTGGAACCAAATCCCTAGTAGGTTTTCGTCTATAAACAGATGATTTGGAAGGCTGTTTGCTTTTTTTACATGTGAAATGCTACTTACGAGGTACTGATTTCCATGCTCCTTTTCTGCATTTGGAAGTTGTGGAGGGACTAGGAGCCTTAGCTTCGTCCCTCACAATCCCGGGCAGAGGGAATGAGGCGGGGCTGCCTCTGGATGGCCCGGTGGCCAGGGTTCCTTCTGCTTTGTGCTGAGAAACCTGTAAGGAGCTGGGCTCAACCTGCCCAGTGGCAGGTGGCCCTTCCCTGGTGCCAGACCCCTGGCTGTGGTCTTCACGGGTTGGGGAGCCCAGGCCTCCAGGTCAGTGCAGGGCAGGGGCCCCTGTGCTCTAGCCTCGGGGGTGAGGGGAAGAAACATTCACGTCCCCTTAGGCGTTGCTTCACTTTCAGTCACTTACATGCCCTGTCCTCCTCCTGGCGTTGTGCCACCAGAGTGAAGGGCCTTCCCGGATGCAAGAAGCGCCTGGAACAAGCCAGGCACCTGCTCTTGAGTATGCTGGAGAAAGGCTTGGGGAGGGGCCCGGGCTGTAGGACCCTGTCCACTGGGCTGTCAACACTTATCACCTTGTCCAGTGGTGGCGGCAGCCCTGCTGGGTCACCTTGACTCAGCCGCTTCCCTGAGTCTCGCTCCCTCCCTCAGCTCAGTGCCATGGGTGTTTGGTAAGCTAGATGTGCCATCTGGTGAAGCCGGGCAGGAAGTAAGCTTCATCCTGTGTACCTGAGGCCCGTGAGCCAACAGGAGGTTCAAGGGGGCTTTGGAAGGCGCCAGGGCCCAACCGCCGGATCCACCCTAGACTCCCTGATCTCAGGCTGTGAGGAATGACACCTCCCTACAGTCCAGAGTGCTCTCAGCAGGTTCGTAGATGTTTGTGTCAACTGGGACTGACCCAGGGACCCTTTGAGTCTGGTACGGGACATGATTGTGGGTGGGGAGCTCAGCTGGTCCGAGCTGTGGCGCCGTCAGGGAAGCAGCGAGGCCCAGCCCAGCCTGTTCGGAGGCTGAGGAAGTCTCCCTGCGAGGTGCTGCTGACCAGTGTCCAAACCCCAAATTATGCTGGTCCCCTGGTGGAGCCCTGGGTCGTGACCAAGACCTTGTAAGTAGGGAGACAGACTGAGCGTGAACTCACACTTGGTAGGGATGCAGGTGCTGCACGGGACCTGGAGGACTGTACCCTCTGTGTCTGTGTGTCTGCTCCAAGGCAGCACTCGCCACCGCCAGGGTGAGAGGGTCCTTCGTCCACGGGCCATTACCTGGCCCTGGGGTAGCAGGATTCTGCTACCTGGAGAATTTCCCCTTGAGTGTGGGCAGAACTGTGCCTGGGAGGGGGCTCCTGACCCCACCATGTGTCTGGCGGGGCCAGCCTTGGGGGAACAGCCGCTGGGGAGCCACAAAGCAACGAGGAAACAGGGCCTCCGTCCTCTCTGGGTGAGGAACTCAATTCCACCAACCAAGGCCTCCCCTGAGATGCCCCTGAGCAGGGAACCCAGCTGTGGTGGGCCTTCACCTGTGTGTGTGGTTAATTCGAAAACCAACCGGCGCTGTTTACTTTAACCCTTTCTGCCCCTGGGTGGAACTCCCATCAGCGGGCGTGGGCTCCTTACGTGGCCATCGCCCCTCCGAGAAGTGGGTGGGGGTCCGGACGGTCATCTGTGGGTTGTAGGTGCATTTTGGGGTCAGATTCCCAAAGTGGGTGCAGGGGTGTTGCTAGCAATGCCCATGGCAGCCAGCAGGGGTGTGCCGGCTGGAGCCGCCCACAAGGTGGCCCACAGGGCATGTTCACCTCTATGCCTGTTTTCAGGTCAGGCTTGCTCTGATAGGAGTTGCAAATATTTTCTCTCAATTTATTGTTTATTTTTCCTCTTTCTAATGTGACATTAGGGTTTTTCTGTAATCTTCCCGAGCTGTCTTTCTCCTTTTTTCATTACCTTAAAGTTACTGTATGGTATTTTTTACTCTGGAGAGAAGATAAACAGTGGGTGCCACCTTCCAGGATGAGTTGCATTTTGAATCTATATCCTATAGTTGCTTTGTTAAAATATCTACAATTGTGGTATTTTTAAAAGGAAGAATTAAAAATTTTTTAACACTAATTTCCACTTGCTTGAAACTGTTGTGATTTAGAGGAAAACTTCAGTTGTTTTCGATTACTTAGCCTTTTTCCCACTTGACTCAACTCCGTTTCAGCCAGAGAGTAGAAGAGGGTGCGGGTGCCTGCAAAGGGCTGGGGGCTCTTTACTTCTTTTCTCGCGTCTCACGTGTTCGGTTTTTCATTTGTAGGTAGTTGTACCCATCAAGTTTTCTCTTATGTTTTCTGGGTGTTCACTTATTTATTTATTGTTTCTTTTTTTAAGTTATAGAAGAAAAGTATGCTCTTTGTTAAAAAAAAAAGTGCAGAAGAGAGAAAAGCATAAAAAGTGTCCCTTTTCTACCTCCACCCTCCAAGCCCTTAGAATGACTTGTGCCTCTGCCCACAGTGGTTTATGTGAAGTTACGTTCTCGTAGAAACACCTGGGCCTTGGGGCCCCTGGGTGGGGCTGCTGATGACTCATTTTGGCTCAGGTCGTGATCTCGGGGTCGTGAGACCGAGCCCCGCATCAGGCTTGGGATTCTCTCCCTCTCCTGCCCCTCCCGCTTGTGCTCTTGCTCTCTTTCTAAAATGAGTAAACAAATCTTTAAGGAAGAAACAAAACATCTGGGCCTTTAGTTTTTGGTTTTGTTTTGTTGGGGGGGTACCTGGATGGTTCAGTCAGAAGAGTATGTGACTCTTGATATCGGGGTCGTGGGTTCAAGCCCCACGTGGGGGGTAGAGATGACCTAAATAATAAATCAGAAGCACATGGAATACCACTGTGTGTTGTACTGTATTGTGCCTGCCCACCCAGGTCTCCCTCACTTCTCTCCCATGTCTACAGGGACCCCGTGAAGGGATGGGTGACATTTGGTTTCAACAGCCCTCTGGGTGGGGGAACACTGGAATGCCGCTGTTCTCGTTTTTAAGATTTTTATTTTATTTGAGAGAGAGGACATGGGCAGTGGGGTGGGTGGGGTGGGGGGAGCAGAAGCAGAGGGAGAAGCAGACCCACCACCGAGCAGGGAGCCCGATGCGGGGCTCCATCCCAGGGTCCTGAGATCACGACCCGAGCTGAAGGCAGACGCTTAGCTGACTGAGCCGCCCAGCGCCCCTGGAATGCTGCTGTTTTAACTTGTATTTTTTATTTGTTTGTGAAGCTGAGCCTCTCTTCTCATATTTGCTGGCAAATTGTCTTTTTTTGCGGTTTGTCACATCCTTTGTCCATTTTTCTATTGTGATGTCTGTCATTTTCTTGAATTGTAGCAGCTCTTCGCATATTAAGAAAATTTGCCTTCTGTCATATGTTGACAGATTTTTTTTCCGGTTCTTTTCCTTTTGAGCCTTGCTTGTATCTTTTTTTTTTTTTTTAAGTAATCTCTAGACCCAGCATGGGGCTCGAACTCATGACCTTGCGATCAAGAGTCAGATGCTCTACCGACTGAGACTCCCTGAGTGTTGCTTGTGCCCTGAGGGTCTGGGCTGGAGAGAGGATGGGGTGCTGTTGTTTAGGAGACAGTGTGGTGTAGTAGGAAGACCACAGCTCAGCCTCTGTAGTGGAGGTGGGTTATTCTCTTTGGCTCCTTCGGCGTCAGAATTCACGTTGGGAGTTTGTTTCTGAGTCTTGTGAGAAGCAGAACTCGCCTCTTTCGTAGGAGCTGGAGGCACTGTTCCCTGCCCCACCTCCTCACAGCACCCTGGCCACGTGACCAGGCTCCCTGTGCCCTGTTCCAGGCTGGGTCTCATCCCTGGTGATGCATGCAGCCTCAACATCCCCACCATGGGCTTGGGAGTCACCCCCACCAGTTCGGGGGGTTTCCCAGTGTTTGGTCCTTTGTGACTACCTCAGCCAGAATCGGTGCTCTGTTGCTTAGCACAAGACCAGATATACCGAGCTTGCTGAACCAGGTCTGGCTCTGGGCCTGCCGGGCACTGACCATCTGGGGGACTCCCCTTCAACAAGCACTGAGTGCCAACCGAGCACTAGGAACCACAGGAGGGGGATGGTACTGGGCCCCAAAAAGTAAGCAGAGCCCGATGATGGGGCAGACAGATGGGCGGGCGGGCCTGGGAAAGTAGAAAGTGGTGTGGAAGGAGTTCTGTAAGGACAACGGATGAGGGGAGAAGAGACATTCGTTCAAGTATTTATTTAACACCTACTGTGTGCCAGGCTGGTCCCAGGGTGCGGGGCAAGCAGGAAACGGCAGAACAAACTATATCCATCCTTGCCTTCCCAGGGTTTTCATTCTGAAGGGTTTCCAGACCCAGGCTCTAGCGGACCTCCTCTCCCC